CAGGGCAGGGCAAGCCTGTCCCCAGACGCTCCCAGTGGTCCCGGCTCCTGTGCAGCACCTGGTGGGTGAGACTGCAGGGGATCTGCTGCAAGGACGGGGCCAAGGGGCCTGGCAGAGCCGCAGCAGGGCTTGCACCCCCAGAGTGAAGGGAATGGGTGCTGCCAGGTTGCCCCAGGGCTGGCCGGTCTCCCTCCCACGCCTGCGCTGGGTGGGCAGGGGGCTGCGGGCTGGGAGTGAGGGGCACCGGCAGGGCGGACGGGGCATGGGGTTGCAGGTTGGGAGTGAGGGGTGGGAGGCAGGGGGCTGCGGGTCAGCAGTGAGGGGCACCAGCAGGGCTGTAGGGGGTCAACTCCCACCCCCAGCCCCAAGCAGATGGGGCACTGGCTGGAGCCGCAGGACGGGGCACCCGGATGCCTGGGTCCCACCTGCCACTCCGCCATGCTGAGCCTCCACTTACCTTAGCTGCATCGTGGCTCCTGCACCCCTTTGATGGCTCCGCGGGGCCCATCGTCTGCAAGCTGCAGGCGCCTCGAGACAGGGCCCACGGATTTCAGCTGTGACCAGGGCTGGTCGCCTGTCCCTGGCTTCTGGATCCGGCCTCGGGCATCTCTGCCGTGCCCCAGCCTAGCTCAGGGCAGCTGGGTGGGGAGAGCGGAGGGCGCGGGTGCAGTGGCAGGAGGGGCTGAGGGGCCTGGTCCTTCCCCACCCCTGGATGCGGCCACTTCTGGGGTGGAGCAGGAGCTGGGGCGGCCCTACCCCGCACGGGGGCTGGGCAAGCCAGGCCGAGGGCATGTGCTTGGGACACTAATTAGCAGCACTAATTGGGGATGCGTGGAGATCTCGGCCCCCCTCAGCCACCTCGTGCCCAGTGGCCTTGGGGGAAGTTGCTGCTACATCCGTGCAGGGCCTCAGCTGCCGGCGCAGGCCGGAGTCAGGCCCACGTGGATGTGCGGCCCCTGAGGCCTCGTGCGGCTCCACGAAGGCGAGCAGGTGGGCGAGGAGATGCCATGTGTGTGCAAGCAGGGATTGTAACACGAGACTGAAGTACAAGATGGCCAGGAGTTGGCCCCGGTGTGTGCATGTGTGCACACACGTGCACATGTACGGGGGGGGTAACAGGATGCTAAACTACAAGATTGCCATGGGTTGATGCCAGGGAGTGTGCACACATGCATGTGCACACGTGCATGTGTGTATGCTGTGTGTGTATAAGCAGGGAGGGTAACATGGGAGGCTGGACTACAGGATGGCCAGTAGCTGGCCCGAGAGTGAGTGAGTGAGTGTGTGTGTGTGTGTGTGTGTGTGCGCGCGCGCACACGACTGCATAAAATACAGGAGGCTGAACGACATGCATGCTGTGGGTCAGCTCCAGAGAGCATGTTTATCTGTGTGTGTTTGCACGTTGTGTATGTGTGGGTGTGCAAGCAGGGAGGGTACAAAAGGAGGCCGGACTACCTGCCCTGCCCAAGTTAGTGTGCGTGCGTGTGCAAGCAGGGACTGTAACACAGGAGGCTGCATTTCAGAATTGCCATGGGTTGGCCACAGTGTGCATGCACAAGTTGTGTGTGTATGCGTGCATACTGTGCGTGTAACCAGAGGCTGCAGTGCAGGAGCCGGCCCCAGGGGAAAGGATGGGCTGGAGCCTGTGCCCGTGCCCCAGGCAGAAAGGAAGGGGTGGGGAGATGAGCGGCGCGGCCGCGGTCGCGGCTCAGCCTTTGAGGCCCAGCTCCTGAACCCAGTGCCTCGGGCAGGGCCCGGCTCCGGGTGCAACGTCTCTCGCACACGCGCAGCTGGACCCGTGCGAGACACTGCCACGAGCCCTTGTTTCTAGCTTTGTTCCTGGACCATCCGAGCAACAGCCACCCGCTGCGTTGATACGGGAGGCCGCGGGCACCAACATCCTGCTGCTACCAAAGGTCACGGGTGCTGCAGAGCCCAGGCCAGGCCGTGCCCCGCCCCTGCTGCAGAGGAAGGCAAAACCCTCCAGTGCAACCAGTCTGAGCAGGGGGGAATCCCTTCCTGCCCCAGTGCAGCAGCCTGAGCGCAGGGGCAAGACCCTCCTGCCAGGACCCTACGGGGTTGGTGCCAGCAGATGAAAGAGCAGGTTGTGTGTAGGGGGGGCCCACAAAGAGTTAAATAAAGCCGCAGATATAAAACCAACAGCCGGAGTCGGGGGCTGCCGGGAAGCTGCTCCCAGCGCTACAGAAAAGCACCAGCCCCGACGATTTCCAAGCCCCCGCTGGTGCCAAGAACGGAGCCGGCAGCGAGAGCGATGGCAAGAGCCTTGGGGCCGGCTCGTTTTCTGCCCACCCCAGGAGCTTCGAATCAGAGGGGGCTGCCCCGTAAAATGGAGAGAGATCCGGCGCCCAGCCAGGAGAGGGGCACGTTATATAGGGACGGGTGCCGGCCGCGGCCTGGTCCCAGCACGGATGCCAGGATGCCTCAATTACTCCCTCATTACTGAACAGCTGGGGTCTGATTAGCTCTCAGAAGACATTTGTGCTTCTCCAACCAGGATCTGGCCACGTGCCCCCCTCGCACGCCGGTCTCCTCTCCTGCGGGGTCGAGACGGGTTGCAAATCCCGCGTGCTGTTTGCCCGTGCGGTCACGGGCGGGTCCGTGGCCCAGGCGGGGGCTGTTCCCCCGTGAGCGGAGCAGGCCACGCACGGGGTTTGTTTGTGGGGCGGTTGTTGCAACCGGAGTCAGGCCCGTTTGTTAGCGGGGAAGTGTGGGCCGAAACCCGCCAGGTCAAACTAGAAGCCTGCCTGGAGAAGGAAGCGTAACGATCGTCAGGAGAAGCTTGACCAGGAGGTCCCAGGACTCGGTGCGGCCACGGCTGAGTCCTGGACGAGGCTTTTGGTGGCGCACGTTTCCCCGATAGCGTTTGCCCTTAGTGCCGGAGGCTCCCGAGAACTGAGGTTTGGAAAGAAAACCATGGAGCCGCAGCGTCCTCTTAGAGCTGTATTTAAGTTATTTTCCGAACAGTTCAAATAAAATAAAATAATCATAATTAAAAAAAAAAAAAATGTATATATACCACACGGTTACCATGAGCCTAGCTCGAGTGGACATTAGTACATGAACTACACATCACCGGAACGGCATCACGAAATCCAAAGCACTCATTACGGAGGGACCTAGAGAACGACTAGAGCGGAGGAAGAAACGGAAAACCGACGGGGCCGTGCTCGCTCGTCCCCCCCAGCACGAGCTGGATGCGGCGCGGCTGGGGGTCGGTGTGTCGGAGGGGTGGCGGGCTCCCGGGACAGCCGGACGCTTGGGGTGGCCGACGTCTTCTTGCGCTGCGTTGTTCTGCAGGTGGGGTTGGCAAAGGGCAGCCCCCCGCACGGAGGCAAAGCAGCGGTGAGACTCCCGATCCAGCCCCCTGCTCGGGCTGGGATGCGACGACCAGCCCAAAAGCGTCGGAGCTGGAACGGAGCCGCTCCGTGGGCCGAGCAAGGATCCGAACGCGCCGCAGGGAGCTCGGACGGACGGGAGAGCAGAGGATTGGGTCCCTTCTCCAGCCCTGACAGCTTCGTGCAGGGCTCACCTACTGCCAGGTTGGAAGTACCTTTCGGCGGCGCGGGGGCCATGGGGGAAGCACGCTGCTGTCGAGGTTGCTGTTGCTCCGTTGAGCGGGAGGGACCCTGCTCTGAACCCCAGCCGGCAGGCAGGAAAGCCGGAGAGGCCGCCGGGAGGTGTCCTCCCTTCCCGGAGAAGCGGTGGGCTGCGGGGAACAGGAGGGCAAAGCTCAGCACGTTACATGCATCATGCCTGCCACATGGGGAGCCCCCGGGGGAGCTCACTCCTGCTCCTGAGACTGGGAGGACCGAAGGCCACGCGCCCATCAGCTAATGCCAGGAAACACCGGTTTCTGCGGGGCTCCAAATTCCCCTCTCTCCCACGCTTGTGTCCTTCCCAGCCAAGGGCACAAGTTGGGGTCGGCGTGTTTTCAGCGTAGTCTCCCCATCGTATGGGACAAACTCCTCTGACCTCTTACGCCCCTTGCAACTGCCCTCGTTAACTGCGGGCCTTCAGGTCATCGGCAATGCTCCTCACCCTCACCGGTCAGCCCAAGAACAAGTGCTCACTAAATACGACCTGAAAGGGGAGGAAGGAAACCAGCGGGCAGTCGGGTGACGGACCTGGTGCTGAGCACCCATCAGGCTGATTGTGGGGCAGCCAGGGCCCGGGATGGGAGAAACAGGCATGTTGCTTGAGCGTGCAAAACTCAACGTGAAAGATCCTCTCTGTGCAAGAAGGAGCAGGGCGGAGGCGACAGGGCAGGCCAAGCCGTCTTCCACGTCAGAACCAGGCTCGGAGCATTTCTTCACTTGGGGAGACTGGAGGTGTCCGCTCGTGAGCCCCGAACCCCTCCGCTCTTGCAGGCAGGCCCATCCCTGAAAGCCAAGGGGGGAAATGGAGCTGCGTCCCGCTGGCCCAGCAGTTCCCAAGCTGCCCTTCCCTGCTTGGATATTTTCAAATGGGGTTGCTTGCAGCAACGCAGCCAGCCGCTGCCTGTTGCCCTCGAAGCAGGGCTGGGAGTCGTGATGGACTGTCCTGCTCTCCGTCTCACGTCTCCCTCGTGGTCAAGGCGGCTGGGAGCTGCGGGACAAACAACAACGCGGATGCAGTGGAGGCGTTTCGATTCAGAAGTCCACGGGCGCGTCTAGCTCCTTCTCGCTTCCTTTCTGTGCTTTGTAAAACCCTTGTGTGTCCTCCAGCCCAGCTGGGCATCATTCGTTGAATCCATCGCAAAGCCTCACCCCTGCACGGGGACGGTGAGCGGGGAATTGAGGAGAGCCGCCGTCTCTCAACACAGAGGCCTACTTACCAGGCGATTTCTTCGATGCTGACCAGAAAAGCAGAGCTGTGGCCGATTCGGGTTCAAGTCAGACCAGCTCACTTCATCACCCTTCGTAGACATCGGAGAATCATTCAGCTTGCGAGGAGCAGGAATTCGCTCTCTGGCGGTTTGGTCTCTAAGTACCCTGACATCGCCCCTTCTCCAGAGACAAGCATCACGGCCTCGGGCCAAAACAGACTGCAGCATTTGCACTGTACCTTATCTATACAGCAGTTAAACATCCCTGGTACCTCTTGAAACACATTGTTGGGTGTCCAGATGAGCAGCGGGGCTGAGCCGAACCACGATGGTTCGCTGTGTCTGGCCAGTTCCAGGTCTTCCGAAGTCTTGGAAACAGAAAGTCACTGCCCAGAGACCCAGGTGAACCACGAAGATCCCCTGTAGCATCCACAGAGTTGCTATTTTCTAGTGCAACCTGTGACCGAAGGACAGAGGTGGACGAGAGATGCGGGGCAAGGAAACACTGTTGTGACTGCAGCTGTCGCCGTATACATGATGCCCACGTGCTACCAGGCTGCAGACGGAGCAATGGTGGGGGCCACAGGAATGACATTCAAGTACAGCCAAGGACAAGACTGTGCCCTCCAGGCAGTTGGGAACAATTTGCGATGTAAACGCAACTCCTTCAATACCCCCCGCCTAGACGGACCAGGGTTGCAGGGTGTCCGACGACTGCGACCAGTCAGTAAGGATTGCAAAGTCCACCCCAGAGAGAGGCATCAAGGGAGAGCGCTTGGCTTGACGCAGAAGTCCTGCGTCTCTGCGGGCTGGGGTCACTGCCAAGGTCACCGAACAGAGGTGACTTCCTTTGTGCTTCCTACGACAGCAGCTCAAGCGCGGGGGCAAGGGGAGCGAGTGCCGCTGTCTGCACTGGACCTCGCCAGCGCTGATATGGTATCTGGGCCCTCTGAAGACGCGTGGGTGTTTCTGCCAGCACTGATTCTCATGCTGTCTCTTAGGGCTGTTCTGGGAGCACCGTTCTCCACGTCTCCGCCGTCGTCTCCTCCTTTGGGGGACTTCTGGCTGCTGCCAAAAGGGTGCTGGCTACTGGGACGCATCTTCAGGGTCTGTGGGGCCAGTTGCTTACCTGACATCACCGGTGGAAACGCGGTTCCAAAGCAGGGCGGCAACCAGACTCCTGGCAAGGCAAAGCCGATGGGGACATGCACGTAACAACCTCCCAGGTGCAAAGCGCCAAGCTCAGAGGGGGCCAGATGCTGCTTCCCTCCCCTCCACCCCCACAGGACAAAGGGCCCTTCGTCCTCAGCGCTGGCAGGACGGGTTCACGTCTGCGAGGGGAGCGAAGGTTGCTCCATGCCGGCAGCGAGAGACCTGGCCCTCCTAAAACTGCTCCAGGGTAATCTGTCAGCCCCTTCGCCGCGGCTGGAATGACTGCGGAGATTATTTCTGCTTAATCTTTCCTGATCCAAGCATGAGGCCCTCTGCGATTCCTTTCCCGGCTGCAGTGGGGGAACGCGCGGTGCCCTCCGGCTGCACCGGCCCGAGACGTGGAGAATTGCTGCGTGCCCGTCGCATCAGAGGCGTTTTGATTCTCGCAGGTCTCAGCTGGAGTCGGTCCTGCTGTCAATTATCCCTTGCTCCTAACACCGCAATGCCGGGTGTGTGAAAAGCTGAGGGCACGTGCTGTGCTGGCTAGGGGCTCGTGCGGCTCGCCGGCAAAGGCAGGCCACGGCCCTGTATAAGCCGACAAGAAAACGCACCCATCTGCCTTTGCCGGCTGGCGGCATTGCTACCATTGGCCCCTGTCCAAACCCGGCCAGCCGCGCTGCACGTGCAGAGAGCGCACCACCGCATGCAGGATGGGGCCAGCTCCTCTAAGACTGACCCGGTGGTGAAAGCAGTGGGGAGAGGGGGTGCATGGAGGGCTCGGGAAGGTGCCAGCCTCTGCTCCCGGCTGCAGCCTCAAGCATCTCCCTGAATAACAGAACAAGTTACAAGCCAGGCGCAAAGCGCTGCCTTTGGGGTACAACCCGTGGGAGTTCAAAGCAAACCAAGCCTGTGCTAGGGTACAGACCATGCCTTCACCAGCGAAATACTGCCCTCAGGTCATCTCCCCCTGCCTAGAAACTGCATCCCCCCCACCAACCCTCCCAGGAAGAGTGCTCTGGACTCGGGCAGGCTTTGCCGGCCGTCCTGCAGGGCGCCGGCCACACGACACGCAGAGGAAGCTCGTAACACACATGCAGCCTCCTCAGGTTCGAGAGACGGGCGAGAGCGGAAGGAAAGATACTGATGTGGTTCATCCAAGGGGGTGAATTGCAGGCACCCGCTTTCTCCACCCAGACAGATCCGCAGGCAGCCATGGACAAACACAGCGGGGACTCGGGTCTCCTCTTGGGCATCGCTTTAGTTGCTCTTCGGAGTCAGGTGCGAGATGCTCTTATCAAAGACTGATGATGATACCTAATTATATCTCCAAGCAGCAGCCCCTTCCCCAGCCTCCTGACCCGGCAGCGACTCTCTCTGCAGGGTGCCCAGTGACAATGATTCTTCTGCTTAAGAGCAAAGCAACGAAGACTGGCAACACCTTAAATATTTTTATAGGACATCTGTGCCTGCATCTAGAGAGGGAAAAGCGGGAGGTGGGGGGAAAAGGGAGAAAGAAGAGGGGAGGTTTAAAAATGTTAATCGTTCATGAAAGATAAGAGACGTCTTCTGATATAGCAGCACTTTAGCAGTCGGCCGCGCTGAGCAGACCCTGTCTGAGATCGACCGCACGCCAACTTTGTTCCAGAAACGAGTCTGAGAGCCTCTTTCTTCAGCAAGGATTCGTTACGTGGAGAGTTCATTTGTCCTGGCATTGGCAGATAATTTAAATACTGCAGCTTAAATGAGTCCTGGGGGGGGAAAAAAAAAAGAAAAGAAGCAAGGGGAGGTTTCCATTCCCTCCTCGCCATTGTCCGGATAACCTGTGCTTGCTACCGGTGCTTTGTGAGGGGGTAGAAGGAGCTGGGCTGACAGCTGCAGAGTCCAGGATGAGCTGTGGCATGGTGCTCCTCATGGGTACCATGCCTGGGAACAACCTTGCCAGCAACGGGCCGATGCTTTGCCTGTTTTCTGAAGTTGCTAACAGCAGCCTCGAGTGCAGCGCGCTCGCTAACCGCAGCAAAGAGTCCTCGGCCCCCGAACCAATGCGCAGCCCACAGCTCACAGATCAAACCCAGCTACACAACCGCTTGGGTGTAGATTCAGGTCCCCTCCGTAACAGTCTCAGAGCGACAGCGCTCTTGTGTTACAGCTCAAGCAGCGGTTCTCAACTGGGGCACACACCACCTCGCCATGCCTTGAGATCCTCTTACGGGTGTCTGCGCAGTATCAGCACCACGAGGAGTGCAAACACCTGTCCACAAGAGCAACCCTGAGATTCCCAGTAGGGATCCAGTGTGTCAAATCTGGATCTGGTGCGTCAAACCTCTCCTGCCCTGCTGTGTCTGTCTGAGCTCTCTGCAACAGAAGAATGGCTTTAGTATTTTCCTGCTGCCAAAAAACACAAGGAAAGCAAAGAGTTGGCATTTTCCGGGGTGGTCTTCAAAGTTGAGAACCACTGGGCTAGCAGGAAAGCACTGGCCAGGCCATGTGTTGTGCCAAGGCTGATGGCAGTTTTACTAAGAGGTTAGATTACAGATTTATATAGGATGGTTCAGACAGGGCTGATCCTGCCTCAGGCAGGGGTTGGACTAGATGTGACCTCTGCAGGTCCTTCCAGCCCCACTTCTCTATGATGTCTATGATCCTAGATGCCTACACCACATGTGGCTAGACTGGGCCTTGTTAATAAATACTGCCCATAATATACTCCCATGCAATTAGGCCAAACTCAGCCTTCAGCTCCTCAAGCACTGGAGACATTCCTCATCCTACACTGCTCATCCCCAGCCGGCTGCGGGGAGGATGGTGTGGTTGCTACCTAGGAGGGAAGGAAACTGATACTCCATGGCTAAACCCTCCTGCTTGAGGACAACGGCCCCATGACAAGCTTGTTGTTAAGCACCCACATCCCCTTGTTAAGCACCAGATGCTCCCTTGCCTTTCATTTCTGGATGCTGGTGGCAGCTGGTTTAATTGTGGGGGACGCCGGGCAAGAGGGAAACTGTTTTTCTGCAGTGCTCACAGGAGCCACTTGCAATACATACACATCCTAGCATGCAGCCCCTGATCTAAGCTACCAAAGCAATCCACTCACTGCCAGGATGCACCAGCTCCTGGCCGCCCAAGGGCCTGGACACATGATGCTGAACGTGTGACATCCAGTCTCATTTACAATGGGTATGATGGCAGGGTCCAGAGAGGACAGAGCACCAGCTATTATCCATGCACCAGGCTACAATGACCACCCTTTGCCATTAGTTGTGGGAGAGCAGGTCACTGCCCACCTGCCTCGGGCGAATGGCTAACGTGGGACAGAGCTGCCGACACATGGCTGTGCCTTATCTCGGATTTTTCTCAGGCTAGTTCCACACCGCATTCAAGAAGGCTGTAGAGCACGTGTTCACTTCTTTCCGGGGGCAGTCGTTCACATGCGGGATGGATCGCAGAGGAGCAGCCTCAGTGGCAGAGAAAGCCCTTGCTCACCGGGTAGAGAGAGCAGATGGTGGAAAGAGCAGGGCACGGCAGGGTGAAATCCTGCCCCTGCCACTGTTACCTGGCACTAGCTCTCAACCTTTTTGGCCTAAAAGGAGCCCCTCCGTAACCTTTCTGAATGTAGAGTCCAGCTAAGTAATTCTCGGCCGGATGCCCTACATTCAGGACCGTTACGGGGGGCTTTGAGGCTGGCCTAGCTTGTCCCTCCAACCAAACGCTCACCACCCCCGGGGCCACGGCTTTACCTGTGCAAGTGTGAGGTACGGTGTAGCGTTGTTTATCTGGAGATGTAGGTGTATGTTCTGGAGGGGGAGCGGGTCGACTCTGCTTGGGCGGCCGGGTCGTTCAGGAAGTCCCAGATGAGGATCGTGTCGTCGTGCGAGCTGCTGACGATCTGGAACTCGTCAAACTGGAGGCGAAAGACTCTCCCAGAATGCTCCTGAACGGGAGGTTAGAGACACCGCGTGTTACTTGACGTACCGCCTGGGAACGCCCAGAGAGGCTTGAGTTTGGGGGGGTGATTGGTTTTTCGGCGCAAAGCCACTGGGTGCATATGACCTGTGGCTGGGGCTGGGAATTCACCCCACCGTATACAGTGGAGGCATTACCTCCTATGCCCCGGTACATATGCCCTGGAGAACAAGTCGAGCTGTCCTCACAGTGCAGCTCAGCTCTGCTTTATCCTCTTATCTCCTACTACACAGCTTAGCATTAACTCTGGAGCATTTCCAACGGCGGCATGCTAGAGCGGATCAAGAGACAGTTCCGCGATCGGTCCGGGGTCCCCGTCCAGCGCTGGTGCTACGGCCGAAAGAGGGAAGGGATGAAACTGGAGGAGACAAAGGGGACGGTGGTGAGATGTCCACCGATCCAGCAAAGATTGCACCTGAATACGAACAGGGAAATGGCTTTCTCGATACGGGGTTGCGTTCTGGGTCTGAGAGGCTGAGTGGAAGCAGCCTGGCGATTTGGCAGAAGTTCAAGCTGTTATTAACAGGCAGCAACGGCCAGATCCTGGACACCGTAAGGCACGTGCCTCTATGCTTTCGCTGCGTGCTGGCGACTTGCTATCGGTGCTTCCTGCTGCAGTGGCTTTCCCAGTCACGGAGAAACATAAAGCAGGAAAGGCTGCTCCTTCTATCTAGGCTTAGCACATGGATAGCTCTGTTATGCCCTCTACGGGGTCAAAGCAAGCAGGAAACCTGGAAACTAAGAGATATTCTGTTTACTGCAGCTCTTTTGAAGAGGGCTAAATAAAAGATTGCCCCACTACATGGCCATAAAGTAAAAAGGGAAACCCCAGAGAGGGGGGCCACCTCAAAGGGGTGGGCAGTGAGAAAATAAGCCTTCAAATGCCTGGAGATACGGCAAGGTCTTTCAGAGCTGTTTCAGGACGATCTCTGTACACGAACCAGACCTGTAAAGCCAAGGAGGCTGCTTGCAAGACAAAGCACCTTTGGGGGTGGAAAAATATTCTCACTGATTAAAAAAGCATCCACTCCCGGGGCCGTTCCCTATATTCTAGTGGGAAAGGAGTTTCCCGAATCGAACTAGGAGCCCCTGTCATTTTGCTGAGACGCCGTTCACAAGACGCTGAAAGAAACCGAGCGTCTTTTTAAAGACTGTTCCAAAAAACCTATTTTTTCAACCCTGCGTTTATGAAGTCAGAGGCACGTGCCTGAAGTTTCTGCGCCCGATCGTCGCGCTTGCCCCTTGCTGTCACGGGGAGAGCCCGTGTGAGAGGCCTACGTCGCCTCGCAAAGCCCAGAAAACCTGCCTCCCTCAGCCGGGAGTGGAAAGCCGGAGCAGGCTGATTCTCAGCCTAGAAAGCACTGTTAAGCTCACGCGGCTGCTGCTCCATCTAAAGGAGGGGAAAAAATGCGAGGGAGCTGGCATGCGGCGAGCATTCGTTATCTGTGGACTTTTCCCCCACTGTTTGAAAACTGAACACAAACAGTGGGGGGCTGGCGATGTTCATTGTGCAGCCAGGTTTAATTTGGGAAGCGGAGGGAAGGCGGGTGGGGGGGTGGAGCCTGGGTAAGTGGATGCAAAGATGCCCTGTTGTCACAGATGTGAAAGCTCTTAAAACAGACACACTTCAACCCACCCTCCTTCCCCTGCTCAGTCCTCTCTGCTGCTCTCAGGCTGGGGGATTTATTGGCAACTGCTCCCAGAGTCTTACAACAATTTCCTCCCATGATTTCTGATGGATGACACAATTAGCTGGGGCACCCAGGATGTCCGTAGCTGGAGAAGGCGGGTGGAATGGCACTAGTTAAATAAAACCTCCCGGGTCTGCGGGCACACGCTGCGCTCAGGGTTTAAGCCTGGTATGCGATCAGTGCTGCTAATTGCACTGGAGTCTCCCGATGCTTTGGGTACGTAGCTGGCTGAAAGGCGACGGAGCGGTTTCCATGGGCGTGAGTCAGCCCGCTCTCTGAAAGATGCCTTTCAATGCCTTCCCATGGACTGTCTGGCTCTCGAACCCTCGCCCTGTGGTCTGGGGAATCAGCCACTCGCTCTGCGGCAGGTTTATGGTGAAGGAAGGGAACGGTCACTGGGCCCATGGATGGGAGCAGGCCGGATGAATGCTAATGCCACCGAAGCCTGAGCTTTCCACCCCTATGAAGGCTCCCAGGCTCCTTTATATTTCGAAGGGAGTCAGGAGCTGGGCTGGAAGTTGCTTAAACACAGAACAGGCATGACCAGTGCAGCAGCTGGCTGGGCTTCCTATGGCTTCTGGCTCAAGTGTTTCAGTCCAGACTGGGGGGGTGTCACCTTTATGGCCTAGTCTACCCCGGCATTTTCTTAACCCATTCCTAGATTCTTTATCAATGATGTGGACATTGGTATCAGAAGCGGACTGGCCAAGTTCACTGATGACACCAAACTCTGGGGTAAAGTGACCACCACACCTGAGGGTAGGATGATGATCCAGGCCGACCTGGACAGGCTCAGAAAATGGGCGGATGAAAACCTGATGGCGTTCAACACCGATAAATAGAAGGTTCTGCACCTTGGGAAGAAAAACCCGCAGCATGCTTACAGGCTTGGCAGTGCTACGCTCGCTAGCCCCACGGCCGAAAGAGACTTGGGGGTCGTGATTGACCACAAGATGAATACGAGCCACCAATGTGATGTTGTAGCTGGTAAAGTGAGCAAAACTCTGGCTTGCATCCATAAATGCTTCTCTAGCAAATCCCAGGATGTCATCCTCCTGCTGTACTCGGCCTTGATGAGGCCGCAGCTGGAGTAATGCATCCAATTCTGGGCTCCACAATTTAAAAGGGATGTGGAGAAACTTGACAGCGTGTGCTCCTGCCAGTGGGAGGGGGTCAGATTAGATGATCTGTTCAGGTCCCTTCTGACCCCAAACTATTATGAAACTATGAAAGTCCAGAGGAGAGCCACACGCATGATCAGAGGGCAGGAGAACAGGCCTTATGAAGAGAGGCTGAGAGCCATGGGAGTCTTCACCCTGGAAAAGCGCAGGCTCAGGGTGGACCTGGTGGCTGCTTATAAGTACATAAGGGGTGTGCATCAGGATCTGGGGGAACGCCTGTTCCCCAGAGCACCCCAAGGGATGACGAGGTCAAATGGTCACAGACTCCTCTAAGACCATTTCAGGCTGGACATAAGGAAGAACTTCTTTACTGTCCAAGCCCCCAAGGCCTAGAACAGACTGCCGCCAGAGGTGGTGCAAGCACCTACTCTGGACTGCTTTAAGAGACATTTGTATGTTTATCTTGCTGGGATCCTCTGACCCCAGCTGACTTCCTGCCCCTGGGGCAGGGGGCTGGACTCGATGATCTTCTGAGGTCCCTTCCAGCCCTATTGTCTATGAAATCTATGAAATTCCCGTACAGCCAATGTGGCTCAATGCTAAAAGTGGGAGCAAGAGGAGAGCAGGTCTGCCCCAGAGCCCTTCTCCCACCACCAGACTGGCAATGGGCATCCGTGGTAGACAGAGCGATGTGACAACAGGCAAGGTCCAAGGCTGGGGGCAAGGGGGTCAGGGTCTGTGATCCATCCTGCCCTTGGCTTCAGCTTCCAACAAGGGGCAAGTCAACAGCAGCCAAGCTGATGTGTCTGCTCTCCCCCGGCTAAGGGCGGTGAGACATTTCACTGCAGGAACCAAGGGCAGGAAGTCTGCCCTGCCAAGCAAGGCAGACATGGGGGCGGACGAAACCCAGACCTGGACTTTGTTAGTTGCTCAAAACTCAGCAAGAAAAATGGAGGGAGTTCCCTGCACCCTGAGGTCTAATCCCCACCTTTTAATATCTACTGCCTATAGCAGTCACAAGTTGGGAGACGGCAGGACAGGAGGAAGGTTCAGACTCTTGGGACAACCAGAGGCATGTACGCTATGTGAAATCCAAGGTCATGATTGGCAAAGACATCTTCCCCCCCGTGAAGTCAGGTCCTTTGCTGATGGGAGGAGTCATTGTTCCATTGTCGCCAAATATTAGAAGTGAAGAAGGCCCTAGAGCTGGCCCAGAAACACTGCCCTGGCTTCATGTTACAGGGGCCCGTGTCACTGAAGAGGCCATAAAACTGACCCCCTGGCTGAGTGAGATGGGCCTGCGGCACTTTTCCCAGCGCTACGACTGATAACCACGGTGTCTGACCAAGAGCTGGCTGGGGCAAGTCCTTCCTGGTGACCCAGGATCCCTCCCATGGTTTTACCTTCTTCACTGCCCATCCCCAGCTGTGTTGGCTCAGTTTGGCCTCTGGGCCCTGGAAATTTTCGGGCCTGCTGGCTGGATCAGAGCTCCTGCAGATGGTCTAAACCAGCTCAAGGCTCCACGGCCCAACAAAGCCTTGACAAACCCAACCCCAGCTTCCCCCCCCCCAACCAAAAACTCTTACCACGAGGGTTCGCAGACAGAGAGTCCCTGCTGGGGCGCGAGGGTCCAGGGCAGCCACGAGGTCCCACACTTTAATTTTCCTAGGGAGGAAAGAGAGACAAACCTCGTGACTTTGCTACAGAGCAAAGAGCAAGTGCTCACCAGAAGGTAAATGCGTAACACAGCTCAGACGATGCACCCGGCTCGCGGAGAAGTACAGGTGAGTGCTTCCGCTCATGAGACATGGTGCTCTCTCTTGGGCAAAGCTCACTTATCTTAAGGGGGAAAAAGGGGTGCGGGTAACATAGAGAATCAGGCAGGTTTATGGTGAATGGGCCATAAACCATTCAGAGGGGGCAGGGACTTGCCACCCAACGGCTGCTCTGGGCTAACTGCCCATGTGCGTGCTCTTACCCCATGTACAGGAAAGGCAACCAGTGATAACTCTATGTCTCTCACTGAAGGCTACTGTACCACGGGTTAGCTCTTACCATGGGATAAATTCATAGGAGAGTCAGGCTGGAAGGGGCCTCAGAAGGTCGTGGCAGGATCAACCCTCCCTAAGCCATCCCAGCCAAGTGTCTGTTCAACCTGCTCTGGAAAACTTCCAGGGCCACTTCTCTAGGTGCCTGCTTCAATGCTGGACCACCCTCAGAGTCAGAAAGTTCCTCCTCAGCTCCAATCTAATTCCCCCTGCCGCAGCTTCAGGCCGCTGCTCCTAGTCCTGTCCCCTGTGGTCACCTCCATCCTCGCTACAATCACTCTGCAGGTATTTGAAGACTGTGATCCAATTCCCCCCCTCCCACCGCAGTCTGCTCTTCTCCAGACTAAACGAATGAGACAGCACACAGAAAGTGCGGTGGGCGAGATAATTAAAGTGGCTCATGCTGCAGTTGATCGGTTCTGCCATGTAAGCTCGGACATCCTAGAACAGACGTGTCTCTAGCAAAGATTAAAGCGTGCATGTGGGCACTTACTGAAGCGCAGCTGACTTGCAATAAGCCCCTGCCCTCTTTTACTGCACACTGAGCTCTTTGCATATCCCTGGCTTTTGTGTCTATGGCAGTTGCTCTCAACTGGAGTGCCACGAGACCCCCTCGGGGCACCCCACGCAGGCACTGCCATTGCAGTACTGGCGTCCAGATACAACAGTCTAGTGTGCAGAGCGAGTATCACACGTGCCCCTCAGTAACATTGTCTGTAACCCTAAAGCACGCTGGAGAGCTGGCTTGTGCTGTAGCCCTTCCCAGTCTGCCTACACTTCCTGGGAACAGAGATGTACATGACCTTCCTGGTTTAGCTGAGCACAAGACACACTGGGCAGTTCTACCTGGAGGAAGCAACACCCGGTTGAGAAGCACTGAGGTCGGTTGAGCACAACAGCAGTTCTCAAGTGGGGCTGCTATGACTTCAAAAAGGTTGAGTGTGTCTCAGTGTGAGTGTCTCTCACACTGGTCTACTGTGTGAATCCTCCCTTTCTTTGACTGACACAGGCCTGCTCCTTTCTGCTGAGGTGCGGGCAGGCTGTAGTTAAGAACCTGACAGCTGAACCTCCACTGGTGCTAAGTACCAAACTGCTGCTATTGGCAGGCACAGGTATTTTCCACCAAAGACCTCAGCTTGTGAAGCAGTGGAGATGCAGGGTTTCAGAAAACAGAATGCATGCAGCAGGAGGAAAAGGTAGCTCCACTTTCCAAACCCATGCATGGATCCACTTCGCTATGAAGCTGGGCAACTCTCTTCAGTTGCTGATAGCTGGTTAGGTTGGAGATGCAGAAATCTTTGCTTAGGGTCTCAAGGAGGAAGAAATGACTGGCAATGATTTGGGAGTCCTGCAATAATTTGGAAGACGGGGACTGTATGGAAGATGCAAGCTGCTTCTGGATCTGCTGTGTAGGAAGCTATCCTGTATCAGGGCTGCTACTCTTCCCAGAGCAGCAGCCGTGAAAGCACTTACTTCCGAGTGGCAGACAGAGGGGAAAAACGCGCGTGCAGAAATTGTGAGATTTGTAGACAAGCAGCAGCAGTTTCAAACACTATAACGTTAACAAGATGCTAGATCTTGCAGATCCACCTTAGCCCTTCACGCACAAGCAGGCTCTGCATGGATCTACCGCACGCAGCTGGAGGTGCACACACAACTCTCTCCACACAAAACAAGGATGAAGGAACCAGGAGAACATCTAAAGCAGTGGGCAGGATGAGTGGAGCAGGCTGGTCTGCACACCAGATAGAGACCTGCACGCCAGGATCGGGTCCTGGGGCCTGACAGTTCCCCCTCCCTGCCTTGTGTGCCAGGATTGGGCCCTGGCAGTGCCTCCTCCCATTGGGATTAGGCCCCTTGGACCTGACATCTTTCTGATACCCTCCGTGCATGGGGAGTGGGCTGTGGGGCCCAGAACTACCCCTGCCCAGCCTTGTAGTCTGGGCTTGGGCACTCAATCCAGCAGATAGGGCTTGGGGATCCCACGGGTTCGGAAATTTGGAGGCAGAAGAGTGGTACAACTAGGCTGGATGACATGGCACTGCAGGCCGGATCTGGCCCGCAGGTCTAAAGCCTAACATGCTTTGCACGAATCAGCCAGAAGAATGGCGGGACAGACAAAGGACACTAATGTCCCATCGGAGGTAATGGAGCAGGGAGAAGACAGGGATGGAGGCTCAGGGGTGCAGTCCAGCAGCCTCACCCGTCGTATGCTCCGCTGACTATCCTCTTGTTATCGAAGCGTATGCATCTCACCAGCTCCTCGTGGCCTTCCAGGACTCGTAAGCATGCCCCGCATTCGATATCCCACAACCTGCAAGAGAAGCAGCAGCAGAGAGAACATCTGAAGATCGACTTATTTCGTGGAAGTGTTTGGTCTTTTATTGGTCAACGGCTCCTTGGAGACAAAGATAACAAAACCCACAAGGAAGGAAGGTACTAACTGCATTTAGGACCCTCACAACTCTCCACCTTTTGCAGGTCAGTTGCAATGTGGTTTTCAGAGGTGACCCCGTTATGTCACCTTCTGCTAAGGCAGAAGGAAGTCAGAGGACTTGGCAAAGGGCAAAGCTGGGACACTATATGGTCAACACTGCTTCCCACCCTGCTACATCACACTGCAGCTCTGGTGAGGGGTAGAAAGCTCCCCTGCTACAAAGCACATCCATCCTCCAAGGGACACCTGCCACCTGAGAAGAGCTCAGCGTGGCAGGATGCTCCCCATCGAGGCGAGCTGTGCTGTCTTAGTGCCTAGAGCTGCTGGGGGAACGATTCAGCAATGTAAATATTTTAAGACCAGACAGGCCCATTAGATGATCTAATCTTACCTCCTGTGTGATACGAGCCAAAGAGTTTCACTAGGTTCTCCTTGCATTGAGCCCAATAACTTGTGCCTGACTCAGGTATGCTTGGAAATGCCCCCAACTATTGAACTAAAGACATCAAGGGAAGGAAAATCCCCCCCCAAAATCTGATCATTTGTACCAATGATCTGATCACCTCCACAGGGAAAAAACTCTCATATTTTTAAGCTGAATGTGTCTGTTTAAACCCTCAAGAGATTAATCTAGTGGTGAGAAGCACAACAAGAGCACCTCCAGACATTAATCTAGTGGTGAGAAGCACAACAAGAGCCACAGAGACTTTCAATCCTCTCCATGAAGATACTCATATGTCACAATCAAGCCAACTCTTAATCTTTTTGCAAAGCTAAACAGATGGAGTTCCTCCAGTCTCTTACTCCTATGCGTGTTTTCTGCTCCAAACATTTTTACACGTCTTCACTAAACCATATGTAATATTTCACAGTCCTTTTTAAAATGTTGCCCCCAGAACTAGACGCAGCTTTCCAAAGTACTGGCCTCACCCAATACCGTATGGAAACATAAGAGAGCTCAGGATTCTTGAAGGAGCATTTTTATCTTGGGAGAATAATTTAAAATAGAAGCACTTTTCACATGGACGTTAAGTTGAGAGGCCTCTTAGAAGTACTGGAGAAGCTGCAATAACTCCATTTGTGGTAGCGTCCGGGTGATGCGTGGCTGTGATGATCCCAGATACATGTGAGAGGCAAGGATTTTTGTGGGTGATATCTTCTATGCAGCTGGGTAACATACAGTACATAGTTGATCCACTAAAAGGTAACCTACTATGCAGATTGTTCAGAACAAAAAAGATATCACCCGCAAAAAAAATCCTTGCCTCCTGCAATAAATCCATTTTTGTCAGCTTAACTCAAGATAAAAAGCAGTTACCTCAAAGGAAACTGGTTCTTTGGCACACACTATCCCTGTATCTCCCACGTATGGTCTGTAGGCATGCTATGTGCGAGAGATGGAAGTCTTCACGAACAACGGTATACAAGAAGGCTACCCATTGCATGCCATCCTGTGCCCCACAGCTGAGGATCTGAAGGGCACAGGAACTAATGTCGCTACAACTGGATCCAGTTTTGCTACAACTTGCTACAATCTTGCAGCTTTGTTACTTGCAGTACCGTTTGGCTACAACTTGCTACAACCCTTTTTGCTCCACTTGGATCCTGATTGACAGACTTTTTGGGAGCGAGAGGAAGGATGCTGGTTCACAGTAATATAGATGGATAGTACACCTTGAAGAGCCATGGGTATCGTGGGGTCAGTAAATGTGAGTTGTCCTTTGAGTGACTGTCCCCTTCTAGTGACTCACGGACAGAAACGTGTGCTGGATGGGGGCTCTAGTGAAACGAATGCTCAAGCAAGAGCTTGGGAAGCATGAGGTTTGAAGAAAACTGGCAGGTCGATCAATGTGAAAGTCAGAGACCACTTTAACCCAAGAACTCTGGCAGACCCTTGAAAGAGAGACCCTTTGTCCTTGGGGTAGTAGTCAACGGCTTTATGCCTAGCTGGCAGCCAGTATCAAGAGCAGTGCCCAGGGGTTGGTCCTGGGGCTGGTTTTGTTCAGTATCTTCATTACCGATCTGGAAGATGGCACAGAGCACACCCTCAGCACGTTTGCAGAGGACACCAAACTGGGGGGAGTAGTAGATACACTGGAGGGTAGGGCTAGGATTCAGAGTGACCTGGATACGTTGGAGGATTGGGACAAAAGAAATCTCATGAGGTTCAACAAGGACAAGTACAAAGTCCTGCACTGATAAGGGGACAATCCTGGGCTGGGCAGCAGCTCTGCAGGAAAGGACCTGGGGAGACGGGGGGCAAGAAGCTGAACAGGAGCCAGCAGTGTGCCCTTGGTGCCAAGAAGGCTACCGGTATCCTGGGCTGCATGGGTAGGAGCGGTGCCAGCAGATTTAGGGCAGTGATCCTTCCCCTCTATTCAGCACCGGGGAGGCCACATCTGGAGTGCTGTGTCCAGCTGTGGGCCCCACTACAGAAAGGATGTGGACACGTTGGAGAGAGGTCAGCGGAGGGCAACAAAAATGGGGCCTGGGGCACATGACTTGTGAGGAAAGGCTGAGGGAACCGGGCTGACTTAGTCTGCAGAAGAGAAGACCCAAGGAGGGATTGAATAGCAGCCTTCACCTCCCTGCAGGGGGGTTGCAAAGAGGACGGAGCTGGGCTGTTCTCAGTGGGGGCAGATACAGGACAAGGAGCAATGGGCTCAGGCTGCAGCAAGGGAAGTTGAGGTTGGATATTAAGAAAAACGTTCTTACTAGGAGGGTGGTGAAGCACCGGAACAGGTTATCCAGAGGGGTGGAGGTGTTTAAGATCCAGATAGACAAAGCCTTGGCTGGGATGATGTAGTTGGGGCTGGTCCTGCTTGGAGCAGGGGTTGGATTAGATGTGACCTCCTGAGGTCCCTTCAACCCTCATTTTCTGTGATTCTATGCTGCTGTAAAAATTGATGCTGCTGCAATGGCCTGGATCCCTTTACTTCTTCTAACTTGGTGCATACTCGTCTCATTTTCTTGGTCTGAATGCCCAGCTCTGCTTTCCTTTTCACAGCCTGTCTGGAGCAACGAAACACTCTGACCTTAGAGGCTCAGATATTAAGATTATATTGAGATTGGGAGTTTAAGCGCCTTAGTTAAGCTTGATGTGCTGGTTATTTAGTAGATATAAATTTGTCTACTTATGGTGAGGGGAGAGGAGTTGGGCTGATTTGCAGCTACTGAAGATAACCCCTGAATACTCACCCCAATCACTGATTTCCACAGGGCTGCATTAAACCCTAATTTCCTTGTTATTTTGGGCACACTTTGGACTTGGATTTGTAGAAACTAAATAGCAAACCCTCCGCTCACAGCAGAGGAGACTGTCACCTGTCCTTTTACCACCCTCCCGTAGATGCCCACCCTCAGCCAATGTTTGAGGAAGAACTACAGGGTAAAGGAACAGGTAAACCTCACGCCATGCCTTCAGGAGGACCCAATGTGGGTTTGGTGAAGATTCACTGCCAACCTCAGGTGAAAGCCTAGCACGAGCTATCTGTCGGCTAGGGGCTGCATTCAGTGTAAGCCTAAAAGTAATTGTATTCCTCTTTAGGGTTATCAAGGAGGCCATCCTTAACAGACTAGCTGGAGGCAATATCCTGAGGGATACCCAGCATGGGTTTGTTGTGGGTAGGTCTTGCTTGACCAATCTCATTTCCTTTTATGACCAGGTGACCTACCACTTGGACAAGGGGGAAGAGATTGAGGTTGTATACCTCGACTCTAAAAAAGCCTTCAATCTGGTATCCCATGATCACCTCTTGGCTAAACTGGCTAACTGCGGCCTTGATGTCACCACAATCCGCTGGTTGGGGAACTGGCTCCGCGGTCGGACCCAGAGGGTGGTGGTCGACGGGAGCCAATTGTCGTGGTGCGCAGTCACCAGTGGGTCCCCCAAGGCTCTGTCCTAGGGCCTATACTATTTAACATCTTCACCAATGATGTGGACATTGGTGTGAGAAGTGAACTGGCCAAGTTTGCCGACGACACCAAACTCTGGGGTAAAGCATCCACACCTGAGGACAGGAGGGCGATCCAGGCGGATCTGGACAGGCTCATGAAACAGGCGGATGAGAACCTGATGGTGTTCAACACTGAAAAATGCAAGGTTCTCCACCTCAGGAGGAAAAACCTGCAGCATGCTTATAGGCTCGGCAGTGCTACGCTGGTTAGCACTACAGATGAAAGGGATTTGGGGGTCATGGTTGACCACAAGATGAACATGAGCCTTCAGTGTGATGCTGCGGCTAGTAAAGCGAGCAAAACGCTGGCTTGCATCCATAGATGCTTCTTAAGCAAATCTCGGGACATCATTCTCCTGCTGTACTCGGCCTTGGTGAGGCGTCAGCTAGAGTACATCCAGTTTTGGGCTCCACAATTCAAAATGGATGTGGAGAAGCTTGAGAGGGTGCAGAGGAGAGCCACGCACACGATCAGAGGTCAGGAAAGCAGACCTTACGACGACAGGCCGAGAGCCAGGGGACTCTTCAGCCTGGAAAAGCGCAGGCTCAGGGGTGATCTGATGGCCACCTATAAGTTTATCAGGGGTGCTCATCAGGATCTGGGGGAACGTCTGTTCACCAGAGCCCCCCAAGGGATGACAAGATCGAACAGTTACAAACTCCACCACGACCGATTCAGGCTGGACATAAGAAAGAACTTCTTCACTGTCCGAGCCCCCAAGGTCTGGAATAGACTGCTGCCAGAGGTGGTTCAAGCACCCACTTTGAACGCCTTCAAGACACATTTGGATGTTTATCTTGCTGGGATCCTATGATCCCTGCTGACCCCCTGCCCCTGGGGCAGGGGGCTGGACTCGATGACCCTCCGGGGTCCCTTCCAGCCCAAACGTCTATGAAATCTATGAAATTATTACTGTATGGACATGTATTTTCGTTAAGCATTACAAGCGGTATTTTAGGTAGTTTTCTAAGTGCTGTAATATTTAACTGTTCTCTGTTCCAATTACTTTCTGGAGCTGAAATCCATGGGACCGCACAAAGAGAACAGTTTTTCCTAATGCCAAGTGCAAAGTCTTCTCGCCATATGTAAGGTCATTTAATAGGAACAATGCAACTTAATAACCTCCCACTTGGCTCTCTCAAAGAAACAGGGAGATGGTGCTCCCTCAGCCCAGCTGTTCCCTTTCACTCAGTCATGCCGTCAAGCTGACAGACAGCAGAATTTGGCTGGCAGGCCCGGGCTGGATCGCTCTGTGATGTCATGCAGAGAAGCATCACTTCCTTGCAGGGTTCACAGAGGGGAAAAAGCAGGCTGTAGTGGGGGAAGGTGCTCTGGCACACGGCGGTGTCAGTACACAGCAGTGACAAGAGGACTGGAAGCAGATCGGTTTTGTTTCCAAGTTTCACCTGCAGGGGAAAAGTCCGCCTATAAAGCAGCAGGTGGAAGTTAAGATGGGGAAAACCCTGGCTCTCAACTGCATAATCTGACCACTTAGCATAATTTAGGTTCCCGTTCCAGTTTGCTCAACAGCCCCTTATCAGCAGGTACGTTCCCCTACCGGCAGCTGCACGATGGATTGAGACAATCCCAGCTCTTGGCATGAAAAGGGTTACGTCTGAGCCTACTATTAGGGCAGCCCGAAAAGTGCAAGAGGGAGCAAAGTGAACATCACGCTCTTCACCAGCTGTTCCAAACTTACGAGATGCCAAGTACCACAAGAGGAGTTTGGCGAGAGCTCAGGAGGATTTCAGCGGAGGATTAAACGCCTCTTATTGCAAATCTGACCCTTTAACTAGACACACAGCCCAATTAAAGTATCACAAGAGGACAGCGCAGGAAGTGATACTTGCCAGCTCTTTGCACACCAAAACTGCCTGAGTAACCCGACTCGCTGATTAGGATTGTGCCCCTGAGATGCTGAGGATTAAAGACAATGCAGAATAAAGGCTTTGCAATATCCCTCTTCAGTAGTTCATAGCATTCAGCATCAGAGGCAGCACAATTCCAGGAGATGCTGGCACAGCCCATTCTGGTTATCTACTGTCTGCAGGTACCGAGGGAATTAAGACAATGACCTTGGCGTGAACTGAGACGACCGTGTGCAGAGCGCTGCGCCGGGGGCCTGCCTTACCTGATGGTGTTATCGGAGGAGCCGCTCACCACGAGCCGGTCTCTGTACTGCAGGCACGCGATGCCTCGTTTGTGTCCATTTAAGGTGCGCACAAATTCGCAGGTACTCGTGTTCCAGACCTGTGATGGGGAGCAGGGGAAGGAAAAAAAAACCCCACACAGGGACTAATTATTAAGAGGTAACTAACAGAAGCAGGTACCTGCTGTGTGGGAAATGAGTACATCCGCCAGGTTCAAAGCTATGATGCTGCGGTCACAGTCAAATTCAAGATGTTATTGTTAACAGAGAGAAAATTGCCTTTCCAATGACATTTGGCTATGGGTTTCAGCACTTAATAGTTTAGGTCCCTTGTAAAGGAGATTTTTTTTTTTTTTTTTTACACTGAATTTTATCAAAGCCAGTCCCTTAGTCTCAGCACTCTCAACCCGAGCCTCACTTTATGAACTGGATTTTTCCTAAGCTTTAACATCCCAGTTGTATGTTCTGGGGGATCTGCTCATTACTCTTGGTTAATAATAAAAAGCCTCTGTCACTTCTCACCTTTATAGTCCTATCACCCGACGCTGATACAATATACTTGTCATCGAAGTCCACTACGTTGACGGCGGCCCTGTGTCCGACCAGGACCCTTCTCAGGGTAATGTCTGTTGGAGACGCCATATCCCAGACGGCGATGGACCGGTCTTTGGAGCACGTCACCATCATGCCGTTGTTGAAGCGCAGGTGCAGCACTGCTTCGCAGTGGTGAATCAGTGTGTTCAGCATCTCGCCTGTATTGACATCCCATACCCTGGATTCACAATCAAGTGAGAGGTTGGGGTGGAGGGAAGAACACGTTAGGTTTTTCAGCAGAGCACAAGAGAGAGAATATCTCTGGCTGTATTATAAGCATTTAACTTGAACTACATTGAGAATCTACTGAATATATTACGGGGAGACGTATTCTATAAACCTGTTGATTACCAATACGTTCAAGGAGTCCGGCAGCCAAAAACCTGCAATGCAGTTAGTGCCATAAAACAACCCAGCTGGAATAAAGCATTGTATAATTAAGTGAATTTAGTGCTGATGAAGGTACCAGATTGACAGCCCTGGAGACTGAAGCTCCCTGTTATCAAAGCCTGCAGCGCACATCTCATCTAGGCATCTTTTCCTTGACCTGCAGGGTAGAGGCAAGATCACTTGAAGTGGCCTGTTTAATCTTTGGTCTCTCTCTGCTGGGACTGTCAACAAGACAGATAGTTTTAAGAGAGCAGAAGATCAGACCATGCTTTTGTGTTCTGAACGAATCCAAACGGGCCTGTGAAGAGCGATATAACGAGGTTGAATCAGGTGCTAATGGAGGCAGAGCATTTACCTTGTGCACATCTGTACTTAGACAACTATATTCCTGGAATGCATGTGGATGGTGCAGAGTTTTCCCAGGTAATTTGCTGTGAATACGAATAGCCTATTACACTCCAAGGATCATTTGTAGTTTAAAAAAAAATAAAAAATCCAGGTACCTGCTCAATGGAAGCAGCTCCTAGGATTTGTGTGGTGCACTTTAAAGTGAAAAAAAATGACAACGTTCCTTTGCTGCATCCTGTTTGCCAAGCTCCTCACCTCAAGGCAAATTTCTTTACAGAGGTTTCCTGTGGCGCTATCATGCCCTGAGCCCCAGCTATGCTAAACTCCAGCGGCATAACGGCTGCATCATCAAATAGCAAGAGACTCTGGAAATTGAGTCCCTCCTCCCTTAACGAAGCTTGCAATTAAAACCGGCAGGGATGTCAGGGAGGGGAGAAAAGTCTTTGTGCAACCCAAACGGTTATGTTGCACGCTCCAGTCTCGTTGGCCCTTCTGCTTTGTGTGCTCCAGTCCGCAGAAGCTGGGCTGCCTCGGCGTCTTGGGGACCGCTTGACTGCCTGCCGACAGCCGTTCACCCTTGTGGGACCCACCGGAGCACCCTTGCTGCCTCAGAGGCAGCCTGCTTTGAAAAAGCAGAGAGACACCTGCCATTTGGTGCCTTCCACAGGGACAAAACCTGCTCTGCCCATGCCAGAAAGTGAAGTCGCTGATCCCAGGGGACATTTAAACAGCAGCAGAGTCCAGCAACAAGGCTGACTCCATCACTGGCCAAAATGTGCTTCCCCTGCCTGTGTTTACCTCTGGAAATGCTACGGAAAAATAAGATGCACGACCAATCTTGCAGTCGCACCTTCATCCTGCCCATTCTTTTAAGCCCAAAGTACATCTCTATGGTCCCACCCCGGCAAACCCCACTCTGCTTGCATGCCTGTCTGCAGCACCTACCACGCTATCCTTCAGACACCTGTGTTATAAGCGTGCAGTCACAAAACATGCCCGCTGCTCCCAAAGCATGCCTTAACACAGTGGGGCCCAACCTTTTTCTCCAGTGGGATGGATGGGCAGTGCTTGGCCTGTCTGCAGGCTGGATCTGGCTGATGGTCCTGATCCGGCACCTGGGGCAGGTGCGGTGGGGTCCTATCGGGCCACATGGAGGGGGTAGGGAGGCAGCCTGGACCTGATCCAGTCCTGTGGTGGAAGAGGGTTTGACCTGGCCTAACCTGGCTGCATCTAGTTGGTAATTTGGCTGTGGAAAGGAGTGGCAGTATTAACTGCTGCAGCCCCCCCACTGCCAAATTTCCCAACCTGTGGGGAGCTCCGTGGGCCAGATGCCATGGCTCTGCCGGCTGGATCTGGCCCACAGGCTGGAGGCTGAGCACCCCTACCTTAACCTGATGAAATAACCCCAGAGCACTGTTCCACCCTGTTACCCATCAGTGCCAGGGAAGTGAGGAACACTTGCCTTGGACTCTTTCTGTGCCCTTCCTCACCTCTCCTCCCTTCCTTTTGCCCATGGTTTCCTGCCTGTGCCAAATCTGCATTTGCCCATCCCTGCACTCCCGGTCCCCCAGGCCAAACCTACATCATCTCCAGGCCCTGCCAGGCCTGCTGCACGACCTGCCCACGTGCAAATCAAATCCTGGAAAGGAAGAAATGCAGCTAGTGCAGAGTGGCTCTGAGCACCAGAACCGCTCCCAGGCCCCCCGGTTTGGCTGTGCTTCTGGCTGTGTGCTGCTTCAAGCTGCCACACTGCCCCTCTTTCAGAGTTTGGCATGTCCTGAGTGGGAACAAGTGGATGTGGCATCAGCAGTGGCATGGACGTGGCTTCAGCTTCTCCACTCCATTAAAGGAAGCAACTGCTTTGGGATGCGACTCTCAAAGGCCTCCGGAAGCGGTGAGGGGCAGCAAAGCCGAGCAGCAGCTGAAGGAGGGGCAGCAAGAGCCTAGCATGGGGGGCCCTTTTTTAGCTACTGGAAAGCGTGAAGCTTTCTGTGGTAGCCCTGGGGTTCATGAGTGCGTGCACGTTGCAAATAGCTTATTTTTTATTGCAGGTGACAGAGCACAGGGGCCAGCATCTAGGCAATGGGGCTCTGGGTATGAATCTCAGGCATCAGTCACAAATGCCGGCAAGAATCTAATACTGGCGTATGAACTGGTGGATCAGATCACCACTGCGATGGCCAGGACAGAGAGAGGAGGTAAGCTATCTTTTTGCATAAACAATTACGTGGCCATCATGAAGTTGCAGGCTATGCAGAAAGACACCAGGCTTAAAATGGACGGCTGGTGGAAAGCGCAGAGACTTCTGCCTGCAGTATGCAGAGGAGCGAGGGCTGTAGACAAAAGAGCTGAGCCATTAGAAAATCAGCAGTGTGCAGATGGGGCTGCCAAACAGAGCAGGGGAGGGAGGTGGAGTGATGTGTCCAGACAAGGGGGTCCCTGAAACCGGGGACAGGAGGGATAAGAGTCCGTCCATACATCCAACTGGCAGAACTGGACCGAGCCTTCCTCCTCCTCCTCCTCGTCAAGACTAAAGAGTTCTCTGCAACGTGCCTCGGGGGGTCCAGGGACATATTTATAGATACAAAAGGGAAATGAAGTACTCTGGGCAAGTAGCCAGCCTCCAATTTGGCCTGCCAGCTATGGCCTGGAGACTGACAACTGCTTTTCACCCAGTTCAGCCTTTTCCTTTGCGAGTCAGTGTTTAGCACAGTGCAGTCCCACCCCGTCTCCGTGCTGATTCATTTCTACAGCCAGATCTCCTGGAGACACACGGCATAAATTGTGGCCTCGTACGCATGGCAGGAACCAACAGACCTCCCAGAGCCATGAGACTGTGTAACACCATGGGCGAGAGCTGGATTGCAGAGTTATTGGCTTCTCACTACGATTTCAAAATGAGCTTGGGTGACAGCTCTCAGCAGGCTGCAGCCATGCGAACAGGAACCCAGATGCAACTGTTGCCGGAAAGGCTCAGACTCAGGGTAGAGCAGAGACCTACCAGTAGAGAACCCCAATCCCCTAACCAAGGTACCCTTCCCTCTTCCCCTGCCACAGGGAGACTGGGTCCCATGCTAGCTTAATACACTGAGTCCCTAAGCACAGGCATTTCCATGGCAGAGGCCTTAATTTCCTTAAGTGCAATGGTTACAGCTATGGACACTGGCCTCCTGACCTAGGACTAGCGACTTTCACATCTGGAGAATAGCTTCTGATGCATCAGTCTGGCCTTGGTGGGGACACAATGACCAAGGTCATGCAGACACAGTGATGAGGACATTGGGTTGAGAGAATTATCTGGGTAATTCTGGCAGCCTGGCTACAAATCTTCCGCTAAAATTAAGAGAAGATGAATGATGAAACCCCCTGTATTGCTTGGAAAATTTCAGCCACTGTTTTTAAATAGAATCTTAGTCAAACGCAGAACGGTCGCTCTAGCCCATCTTAAAAACCCCTAGTCCTTCCTGAACTAGCCCTTTCCCTTCGGTAGCTGCGACAGCTCAAGGGGACACTGGCTGTTACATGACCCAGGCGCTCTCAGGTGGAAAGGTTTGCAAACCACATCCTCAAAAGGGCCAAACGGAGCATGTTTAATTGAAACCTTTTCAGTGCCAGGTGAAGCGGGACTGCGAGGGTCAAACGCAGAAGCACGTACCTGACGGTCGAGTCAGAGGAGCCGGTAATGATCACCCGCTCGTCATACTGCAGGCACAGCACAGAACCCGTGTGTCCAGTCAGGATGCGCTTGCATTCCAGCGTGTTCTTATCCCAGATCTAGGACAGCCAATGTTCACAAACAGCTTGTTAAGTAAGATTTTCATCACTGGGTAAACGATGCATGTTGCTGGGCTGGCTCTTTTGTTTTTTTATTACCGAGTGTTTTACCCATATTGCAGACAGAACTTCCTTAGTGGCAAGGAACGCACTTTGTATTCCACAGGCGCTTTGGTGAGAGATAAAACACTCTTAATATCTCTGGTTTTAATATGAATACAGGCTTTACCCTTCTCATCAGGGAACAGGGGTAGCCTGTAATTACTGGAGGACCAATAATGCTGCCAGTAAAGTCCATTCTGGAAGGAGGCAGAGCATTTCTTGCCAGATAAGTTAGATTGATGCACGTTTCTGGAGGGAGGCTTATCTACCAGCACCAAAGAAAAGCACGCCCAGGGTGGAAAGCTGTCTAAGGAAGTCTCTGGGCAGCTGCTCCCTCCTTTACCGAAAAGAGGACACAAGCCTTATTCCCGGAGCGGGCTGTCCCCGCCCCAGCACTGCCGCCCCAGGGGACGCTCACCTTGATGGTATTGTCACGGAGGCCACTGACTATCTTCTGATCGTCGTACTGTAAACAATAAACCCCTTTACTGGTCTCGCTCCGACAGTGGATTCTCTGTAAACTGTGCCTGCCGCACCGCCAGTTGGACTCGATCGTCTGGGTTGGGGATGAGAGAAGAAAAACAGCAATAATAAATCATGGAGCTGTTTTTTTGTTTGGTTTTTTTTTTTTAATTAGAGAAAATACTTCCTTTTAAACATCTCCCTCCAGAAAGGGCCATTAGACTACATCGCAGTCTCCCCAGGGGAGCAGCAATGGTGGCAGAGTTCTGGCTACGGCTGCTTAGCATGGCACAAAGCGCTGGAAAATAGGCTGCGGCAAAAGGGCTTGTATTGCTCCCTGGAAAAGTGGATGAGAGCTTTCTAATGTCTCTAGATCCGGTGGATCCTTCTGGACTCTGAAGAGAACAAAAGCCACTGTGTAATGGAGCAGACCCCAATCACCCTAGCACAGAGCTCTCAACCTTGTTCGGCTCAAAGCACCCCTCGTTAGACACAAAGCAGCCCTCCTTAGACTTGAGGCACCCCTCGGAAAATGCCAGTTCTTAGTTTTCACTCATTTTTTAAAGCTGGAAAAATAATACAGCAATTTTTCTGCTGCAAGGAACTCAGGAAGACCCCACCAGGGCAGCATTTTTTTAGATGCTATGGATTCTTATCTGAAATCACTGGGTTTAGCTTGTGAATCGTATTTGCACGCCTGGTTGAGAATCGCTGCCCTAGCACCTGAGCACCTCTCTTGCAAGTGAGCCAAGCACAGACAGGAGTTGGTACCTTGCACATAACTATATCTAGGGCACCAGTGCTACGTGTTTGATGCTGTTCACTACGAGCCCTATGGACTGCTGTCTCCAACAGCGCGTTCTTTCCCAGATTCAACTCATGGCATGCACAGACACTCGCTCTCCCAGGAGAAACCCTCCTGGGAGTGACTTAACCCTGGTTGTTCCCAGGCTATTTTACTCCTGGAGCAGCCATTTTTAATCTGGGAGAAGAAGCCAGAACATCTGGACACTCTTGGTTTCTCCCGGGAGGCCACTGGCTCCCCCAGGAGAGACCGAATGCCTGTACAAGGCCTCTGCCAACTTACTAAGGTCTCATATGTTCTGCCCTGGGTTAAAAGCTATGGAACCGAACCAGAAAAAAGCCATGAACTCTGCCCAGCTGCTGCTAGGGCATCACAAGTGTGGGCAGCTTCAGTGTTAACATGTCTGACAGAATAGCCTGATTCACATGGAGGAGGAAGGAAGGCAGCATAAAATGTTTTCCAAGAGCCCCTGATCTCAGGGGTTCTGCACACATCATGTGCATAGCACAACCAACATTTAACACTGATTTGAGGATGCGGGGAATGTTAACATAAAATCAGAAAGATTAACAAAAGCCCACCACAAAATAAAGCTGTGTTTCTTACCTCGATGTCCTGTATAATTTTGGGATAAAGTGCTCTATAGAAGGAGTTGGGTGGGGCATTGCCATCGGGAGGCTTGTTTTTAAATAGATACTGTCCCCTGGAAGAGAAGGAACACGGTTGCAGCAGGTTTGGGCAAAGGTTTCAAAGGTGTTTTACAGAAGCGGGTCTGGAGCTGTTTGTCAGCATAGGGGACATACTAGCGCTCGGATCTGGCTTGTTCAGCTCGGGCACCATCTGACCCGAGCACGATGGCAAGTACCGGCAGATTCCTCAACGGACACTAGCAGGCACTAAAGGAAAAGGGGATGTGTTGTACATATAGGGCAGGAGTTGCTTTCATCTAAGAGGAAGGCAACAGTGGCTCGTATAGCCCCAGCTTGGTTCCCTATAGCACGTGGCCTTTAAAAGTAAGTCCATGAGGGAAGAAAACTAAGAAAGCTGAGGGACCCCCACGCTGTCACCTGCTGAAAGCTACTTTGGCAGGACTGACATCTGCTTTGGTTCGTGGACGTTTTACTGCCGCTACTCGATTCTGGGAAAGCACCGTTTCATCAGTGGCTCCCGTCCTCGTTTCAACCCCGATTTGGAATATACAGATCCCAAGCTAGATTTTTGCTACAAAAAAATCCCGTAAACGGCAATCACTTCCCGCTGTGTAAAAAACTTTAATTCCTCATCCTGAAGTTAAGAAGCCACCAAACACGGTGTGGAAGCTAGTAAACCCCACCATGGGCGTACTAACTGCTGCTTTGCCTGGCAACGTGCCTCGCAAAGTGGAGATAGGCACAAATGCCTCTGAGTGTAATCCTGGCATCAGAGGCATGGAGTTTATGCTGGGCCAGCTCTCTGCTCCTCCCTCCATTGCTCCATTACAGTGTAATTAATTGTTCCAAACCTCCACGTGCATCTCTTTCCTGGCCCTTCCGCTCGCTACACCTTGAAACCAAGTTGAGGGCTTGTGCCTTAGACGTGCTGACAGAAAATCCAGCCCCGTACAAGCGACCGATGGGCACACAAGGAGGATGGCCTATTTCAACGCCACGGGCAAATTAATTTCAAGCAAGTTTTGAGGCCAAACTGGCTTCTGCTTGGGAATTTTCAGGGATTAAAAAAAAAAAAAAGAAAAAAAAAAGTGTCTCAGTTCTCAAGCCCGTGAATGTGCACATGTGTGCAAGTAGGTAGTTGTGCTCATGGGTCCCATTCACAGCAGGCGGATGCTGGCACGGCATTCAGGAGAGCGACGGATCAGAAAACTGATGCTTCACAGACTTACTAGGGGATACTGGAAGCTCCTGTGAAGTGCAAGTGCTCTTCACAGGAGAGAAAGCCTGCATCACGATCTGGAAGGTGACAGTCACCCCTCTGACGGCCTTCGCGTGGAATTAATTGTTTGTGGATTAGCCAAAGAATTGCTTGGTCTTTCCACAGTCTCCCAGGTGAGTTCGGTATTATGAGCTGAGGATAACAGGCACTCTGTCACCTGCAGGTGGTGATGACTGGCAGACTCAGGCAGTATACCGTGTTCAGCTATCTGGACAGACGTGAACTGTGCCTGGATTTTTTTTTAAACTAAATAATATGCTTTTCTATAAAAACACGGGCCAATCCATATGGCTGTGTTGCTTCCTAGCAAGCTGTCACTGCGGTCAACATCTGTGGGGCAGGGTTTGGGTTCTCCTGCAACAGGCACCAGGAAGCGAGTGCAGAAATCCAGCGGCCCGTGCACTGAAGCTAAGTGAGAAGCTATGAGCAAATAACACCAGTCATCTATCATTCTGAACTGTCCACCTATTCACTTCCCTGTGCCATTCATAGCACTGATTACAAGCTATAAAGCTCTATATGACAGAGACCCAATTAAATTGGATATTGCTTGCTAGCCTTTCTCCATCACTCCACTGTGCCTGGGGAGAGCCCTTCGCAGCCAGTCAGAGGGTATTCTCGATGGGAGCCCGCGCCTTGGGATCTCCATCACTCCAGAAGCCGAGTTAAACAACACCCAGGTAACCATACCACCTCGGGGAAGCAGTGCGAGTGTGGCTGGCTGGGCTTCAGGATGAAAAGCTGGATTTTATAATTGACTTTTGGACACATCCACTATCGATGTGACCGGCAATGGAGGCAGCAATATAGATCTGGAGACGGAAGCAGGATTTCTCCAGAGTCTCCCCCCGGCGTTTGCAGCTAACAGCCGCGGGGGCGAGGGCTGCGCTCCTGATCGCTGCAACGTGACTGGAAGCGGATCTACATAATGTTTGTTTCTAAAGGACGTTTCATAAGCATGATTTACTCGTCTTTATAATCGGAGGCAAACAATATAACAAAATTAACTTCAAAACGCATAAGAGCTTCGGCTTGCAACTTTGTATCTTTTTCTTTTTAATAGCAACTAAAATGCCTGAGCTGTCACTTTTATCTTGTTTATGAAATATTCATACCCAGCTTTCTTGCTGCCAACATCCTAGGGACACCCTTGGAAAAGAAAATTATGTATTAAAGGGCTTACCCCAGAGAGGGAAAGTTCTAATGAAATGTTAGCAGAGCAGTTTCAAACTTGAGCAAGACCCACATTCGGCTAAGGCTATTCCAGCTGATTATTAACTAATCTATCTGCATTTCCAAAGTCCCCTATCCTCTGCGGTACCTACCCTCGGCTTCCAGTTTGAGAATTAAACGGATATCTAATAGCGAAAATGTGCTGAGGAAAACAAACAGACCTATCAGGAAATACTAATTCACGCCACACGCGTCCCAGCGCCCGCCCTGAAAAATGCTTTTCTGCTCTGAACTGCTGACTTGTTTGGTGCTCCTCTTAGGCAGAGACAGAAGCTTAATACAAAAAAGGGATGCAGGCTGGGCACCCGGCGTCCACCCTGCATATCACTGCCGTGGTGCAGTGCCAACACAATGGGGAAGGGGGAAATGGCCAAAATGGGTTGCAGCGTCCCCCCCAAAAGCCCATTCTCCCCAACCTTTGAGTTTGCGGTAACCAAACGGCAGACTGGAAGCCAGCGTTACACTTCAGGGTGCTAGAGACCGAGTCCGAACGCGGCACTAAAGACACAGCGCCTGCTGTCCTAGATGGGTAAGGAAGAGCTGCAGAGGCAGGCCCCTCACCATCCTCTCCTCTCCGCCAGCCCCCTCCATAGCGAGTCCGTCCTGACCATTCTCTCGATAAGCTTCTTCCACAGCATGCCGTCGGATGTCACTCGGTACCACTCCTTACACACCAGCTCGGCGGCGCATAACGACTTGGCATCCAGGTACGACAGGATGTTCTCGGCGATGTGATCCAATCCCCGAGCTGGGAAGGGGGAAAAAAAAAAGAACGAGGGTATTAGTCACTAGGCAGACCCTCCTTGCATGCCACGAAGGTGTACGGTCTTCCCTACCGTTGCCTATCCAGACTTCTGTATGCCAACCTGGACAAAAGGTACGGGAGGGTATTAGCTGCTAAGTTCAGAAACAAACACGTTCTCCCAACTTCTTTTGGATAAAACACAACAAGACATTAAAAATAATAAAGAATCCAAGAAGTCATTCCAATCTATTTCTATGGGTTAGCACTAGGGGGAGATTCTACGGATGGCATTTCCAACTCAGCGATGCAGCCCCCAAAATATCTCTATATTAGGACCATTTCTCATCTCGCTGCTACAGCTGTTCTTGTGTTCCAACGGCTCAAAAGCTGTTTTTGCTAAAGAAGTAGCTTTTAAATGTAATGAAGAAAAAAATATATATATTCCCAATGTGTACCCTGAAGGGTAGTGGTACTTTTAGACATGGGGGAGGGAAAGATATGCAGATGCACGGGGGGAGATATAGTGAAGGAGAGAGAGACTGAAGGGAGTGAAGCAGGTTTGCTGGTATCATTTATTTCTGTGGGTGGAGAAAGACATGCACCCAAACAGTATAATTTGCAATTATTTCCTAACGTGAAAACCAGAAGAGTTGCTTTGTGTTTCAACAACGCTGGAGCAAAATGCGAGACAAGGGAGTGAAAAACGAGAGGACCAATACGGCTGCAACCTGGATACCTGACAAATGAAAGGACGCTGGACCTGACAGATATATAACAGGATAAGGCTGAGATACAGTCTGGGGGGAAGGGGCTCGGCTTGTACTGCTTAAACCGGATGAGTTCAAAATTCACTACCACCCACTCACGCCTAATCGGCAGAAAGACCTCAGAGGAATCAGGCATCTACAAAACAGGATGTTGCACTAATAAAGCTGCTCTTGGCCGCTGTCCTAATTCACAAGTGAGACGGCCACCATCAGAAGGTTGTTTCTCCTCGCAGGTCACATTTCAGAGGCTTTATGGAGACCACAGTTAAGCGAACCCGCCATCCCCCGGGCATCGAGCCCTGCCCGAGAAAAGACCAAGCATGGCAGATTGGCATGACACGCAAATTCCATCTGCTCCATAATGAAAACCCCTACACATCCGGTGTGGGATCAAATACTTCTTTTCTTACTCTTAAAAGCCCAGCCTCAAAGATGGAGCTCCGCTCGTTAGCAATGCTGGAGGAGGAAGCAGTAAATGCATTTTGACGGGCTGAGTCACATGCCTCTCCTTCTGCAGATGGAGAGAGGCGCACGTCAGCTGATTCTGACCCGACTCCAGTGCTCTTCTCTTTGCTCGCTAAGAATCTCCCAATCAGCTCCTCGTGCGTGCAAACGAGATCCTGAAGCCTGGCTCGCTCTGTCTTCTTTCGCCCCTTTTCTGAAAATCCTCAACTTTGAAATAGCTTTAAAACACAGCTGTTTGCAGAGAAACAACTGGGCGGCAGGCTGTGCTTGATTCTCTACTGCCGAGCACTTGAGGGACGGGCAAACAGGGGCACCAGATGCCAGAAGGAGAAAGAGGCCCACCATCTCTTGTCTATGGAGGGGCAAAGTCTCATGACCATACAATTTTAAATACACTTACAGCTTTTACATAAAACTTCAAAGGAAGTGTTTGTAAAAGAAACTGGGCTGGCAGCTCTGGGGGCTGCAGTCCTCTATTTAATCAACAGAGCGGTGCAGAATGGACAATCTCCCCCAACTCTGGTCACTTCTCCCAACGCATCACAACCCTCCTTAGGTAGACTCCTTTCCAGGGACCAAAGGTGAATTGGGGCTGCACTCCCGTGGCCTGAAGTCTCCAGCGAGATGGGAGACGTATTCAAGCGCACCGCATGGCGCTTGTCCCATGCCCACCCCTGTGGAGGAGTCTGAGATTTGCTGGAATTTGGCTTGAGGAAAAGGAGGAAGGAGCACAGAAGTGGTCTTATAGCGAGCAAATTCTGTTTTCAGCAAGTGGCATGGTTACAAATTGAATTGGCTAATTCTCGTTTCCAAAAAAGGGCATAACTCATTTTAGAGCATCAGCAGCAGAGCTTCAAAGACAAAAAATGTCTTTTACCAAATCATCTGATAAATTCACATGAAATGCAATTAACGTCTCACGGTGCCAGAGCCACTTCTCTTTCATTTTAGCGCCGGTTTAATAAAGACCGTGGCAAAGAAGTGGGTGTTTTCCTTGAGTTCAAAGAACACCTCTCACTTATTTCAGACATAAAACCCTTGTGAGAGAAATGCATGTATTGTATATGAATTATGTAAGTGTTCCCAGAGATTTGAGGTTTTTGGGTCAGGACTTCAGGGACAGAGATAAGGTGGTTTGAATTGCACAGAATCTGAACTCTTTCAGGGTATCGGTGGTACGTGGGGGTGTTTTTTTTGGATGGTGAGCTGAGAGAGATCGGAAGTGGAACAGGGATTTAATTTCTAAGCATTTTAGCATTTCTGTTTCAGAAGAAGCTACGCAGCGTGTGAGCTTGGGTTTATTTCAGATAACCCGACACAGCCACGATTTCAGGTTAACACATTTTCTTTCCTCTCCAGAGCATTTCCTGGGATTTCTGAAAGCGGTTACCAACTGTCCAGAGACAAAAGTGATCACCATTCTTGCGAGCTGCCCAGAGACGAACCAACCTCCTTCGCAGGCAGCCTCCTAGATCCTCACTTTCCTCTCTCCTTCCGGGAAACCCTTCCCTGCCCCTGAGGTGGCCTGTCTGCTCCTGCACCTCTAAAGAGACCCGACATCTGTTCAACTCTTTGCTGCTCGCTTCCCACCTTAAGGCCATGTGCACTTTGCAAACGTGCAAATGGATGCATAAGGATTATTTAAACGCACAGCTCCCTAACAGTTGCTTAAATACTTAAATGTCATTCACAAGAGTGAGGGTTGTAGCTGTGCTGGTCCAAAGACATAGGCAGACAAGGTTCTTTGGGCAAAGATGATATCTTTTATTAGACCAACTACGTGAGTTGGTCTAATATATCACCCTTACCCAAAGAACCTTGTCTACCTAAATGCCATTCAGCTATAGAAAGGTGCTTCCTACCTGCTAAAAGGCGCATCTCTGTCACGCAAAGGATGTGCAATAAAGAACATGGATGAGCAGTGGGTTACGGAGACATTTCAAAATCCCTCTGAAGCTACTTCAGTTATTGGCCCAGCTTTTTTCTAGAAAAAGGTAGCTGCGATGAGCTGTGTGTGTGAAATAGGAGGTGAAGAAGCCTTCGTTTGATGGAATGGGCCTGAGAAAAGACTGAAAACCTTATGCTTCAATCAGGAACTGTATTGTGACTATAACAATGGAGAAGTTGCTCGTTGCTCCCTACATTTAGGTAATCGAACACTTCCGCAGGTTCCAGTGCTACTCTGGTCCACTGCTAATCTCCTCCAACCTCTCGCTAGCAGGGTAGTAAAGCATCAGAAGAGGCTCCCCAGAGAGGATGTGGCATCTCCATCCTTGGAGGTGTTTAAGACCTGGGTAGACAAAGCCTTGGCTGGGACGGTGTAGTTGGGGCTGGTCCTGCTTGGAGCAGGGGGTTGGACTAGATGTGACCTCCTGAGGTCCCTTCCAACCCTCATTTTCTGTTATTCTACAAAATAACGCAGTGCAAGTGCTTACAAGAACTGAGATGCTACTGAGATGCTTTTTTTTGCCTTCCAAGTCTACAATAGCCATTTGATTACTGGGCACAATGAGATTATAAAATCCGGAGAGTTTACATATTTAACTTCATAGCAAGGCTCCCACGATACTTTTATTCTTTGTAAGTGCAATTAAAACCACATTTTTCCATTATCATCTCATGTTGACAAATCCATTTGGAAGAAGTCAAATGCTTGGGGTGAAGAAGCAACACAGGCCCAAGCAGCTCTCGCCTGGACAAACACAGTGCGAGAGGAATTATTCCAAATGATCTTTTCCTTCAACTAAGGGCAAGTCTACCTGGTGCAAAGCATTGCAGAGATATCCCAGCCAGCCTGGGTACCTGAAATAAAACAGCTGGGTTCGCATGGCACTCTGGCTGGGTTAATCTACCCTGCTTCTCATCAAGGCTAAAAAGACGGAGCCGAGTGATGTGCTAACATGGCTATCTCGGTTGTGGCACCCTAGCAGGTCACGTGCAACATAACCACTCTCTAGGAGCCCAGTGACAAAGGCTGCAGCACCCTGCCGGTCCACCAAACCCCCAAAACCAAACAACTGGAATTGCAATTTGCTGCCTCCCCTGAAGGCATGATTCAACGGACTGAGAGCGGGGCTGAAAGCCAGGAACTCGTGGGTTCTGGATAAGGTCCTGTCACATAAACTCAAGCAGGTCACTGATCTGTCAGCATCTCAGAGTCCTCATATGACAAAACCTGTACCTACCTTGCAGGGGCAATGATACACCTGTCTGTACAGTGCTTTCATCCTGCTAGCTACTTCAGGGACCCCCATTCAACACAGCACCTGACCACAAATGAAGGTCGATACCTCTTCGGATCACAGGCAAGTAGGGCTAGAAGGGGCCTTACAAGTTCATCTGGTGCAGCCCCTGCTCACAGCAGGTTCATCCCTGCCGAAACCATCCCAGGGAAGTGTCTAACCTGCTTTTGAAAGTTTCCGAGGATGGAGAGCCCACAACTTCTCCAGGCAGCCTGCTCCAGTGCCTGACTGCCTGCAAAGTCAGACGGTTCCTCCAAATGTCCCACCTCAATTGCCCCTGCTGCAGCTATAGGCCATTGCTCCTAGGCCTGTTCCCTGTGGTTAAAAAGAAACCCAACTCCGTCCTCTCTGTAATCACCCTTCAGGTATTTGAAAACTGTTATCCAAATATTCAGATAAAAGGCAATACAGAGGTGTGAAATATCGATAAATTAAGACTTCCACTGTCCCCTATGGCCAAAGAGAAACCCATTTCCATCCTCTCTGCAGTCACCCTTCAGGTATTTGAAAACTGTTATCAAAATCTACAGATGAAAGGCAATACAGAGAGAGGTGCAAAATATCGATAGATTAACACTTCCACTTATTATTCAGCTATATTTTCTTCACTGGGGGCAACTAGTAGACTCGAATCAGTGGCTACAGGAAAAGATTATTAATGAGGGGTCCATTCTGAATGGAAAAGAAAAGCTCCAAGAGACACCAAAGATAAGGGGCAGTTCAAATGTTTAAAAGTTTTGTTATTCAGGCATACATCAGAAGCCCAGCCACGTGCTCTGTTCCTTGTGATGTACGCCCTTGACATACAGGCAAGATCTACAGCGTATTTCAATCACAGCAGGAGAAGTACTGCATGAAATATTACTACTGCTTTGCACTCCTACAGAGCCTTTCACTCAAGGACCTGCCACTTGCTTTGCAAAACATCTCCCAGGAGAAAATTCGCCAGCCGGGGAGGCCCAGTATCAAAGGGAGCCAAATGGCACGGCTCTTTCAAAGACAAGATGGAGAGTCCTTCCCCCAGTCCTGCAGGAATACCTGGTAGCGCTGTGATGAAGTCCCTCTGTAACATGGGCTTGAGGTACGAGTTGATATGTCCATGTTGGTAATGACACATCTGCGAGATGAGATGCTCCACAAACTCCACCTGGTCGGACTCGGACCACTGCTCAAAATACTTGACACAGAGCTCCTTCTCCTTCTCATAGCTCGCGGACAGCTTCCTTTGCTTGGGCACAATCATACTGGAAGTGCCATTGGCAAGTTTTGTCTGGGAAAGGAAAAAAGGAAACACATGAAATGAACCTTGGGCTACTTCATCATCTTTTTTTTGGAAGACAACAGAAGGAAAAAACATTCCTGTGCGTGAAGCTGGCTGAGTCTGCATATCCCATTTGCTGCTGTCAGTCTGCAAGCGGCCACAGACGCCTGTAACCCTTGGAGGACAGTACAGCTGTTCGCGGTGGAGCCGCACACAAAGGACGATGATGAGATGGGAAGACAAGAGTGGCAGCTCAATACAAACAAATTTTAGTTACATTTTTCAGCCAACAAAGTGCAGACAGATTTCTAATTTACCATTATCCGCTACTTCAATGCACCACAGAAGCCTGCATTTATATTTTGTTCCTTCTCTAAAGTATTTGCTTCAGGGCTACAATGGACCACTGCTACAATTAATAGAAAATGCACAAGATAGATAAGAGGAAACTGCATAGCGATAGTTTTGGGTAGACAGTATATATGGCAAAATGCGTTAAAACGCCCCAAACATTTGGTGCTCACCTACACTTCACGCAAAGGCAGCAGAAAGGTTTTAGTTTTTGATTCTGCTATTAATCTTGCCAGAAGGGCTCAGCACAGTCTGATTTTGAAGAAGGGCTCTAGGGACATGACAAAAGTGACACTTCATTCCATCGCTTAACGGCAGGAAGGTGAAGTTTTGCTTTTCAATGATTTAACGAGAACAAAAGTGGGAGTGCTGCACTAGAAGTACATCCCCTGTCCCTAGCAAAATTAACTATTACCTGGGAAGCCTATGCTTTCCCACGCTGATTAGCAAGCTGCTTTTATTTAATGCTAAATAAAGGAAATGGCCATCCTTTTTTTAGGATCCTATTACCCAACTGAAAAAAGAATAAGCTAAAAATAAAATGCTACAGGCTTACATTCCATCAAGACTAGTTTTAAAGGCACGCTGTAAAGATGCCACGTCCCACAGAACCTCGTTAATGCTCGTTCTGCTAATATGCAAACTTGATCATTCTGGCTGCAACCATGAGGTCTTGCCCAGCATCCCAGCAAAGATTTGGCAGACAGTGCCGTTAAGGGCAGTTCGGACTAGCAGGTCCTTTCTTTTACAGGACGCAGGACTGCATTTGCTACTCCACTATGAATTATCAAAAGAAGATGAAGAATGCTTTACGTTCAAAAGCTTGTCTAACTTTAGCCCAACTACACAGGTGCTCCAATAAAAGACCTCACCCCAAGAAATCCTTGCCTTTCCCATACTTTCTGGACCATCACGGCTACATCACCCTTACAAATTAAAAACAAAATTGCACCTGTCCTAATAAATAAAGCAAGTATTTGATGATGGAATATTATTTCTGTTTCCCTTACGTGCCAATTGACAATGCGAGGGGCAGGGATGTGTGTGGGCGATGTGCTTAATTGGACCAATGGCAGAGGTGGGAGAGATTTTAGCTTTTGGGCATAAATTTCCTTTCCTCAGACTGGGTACCCTCTTGCAAACGTCCTGGATCATCATGGCTACTTCGCCACTCCAACACTGCCAAACCACAGCGTGCCGTTCCAGTGTCAACGCAATCAGGGATATTTTAGTAAATTAAAAAAACCCTCTATTTTACATGGACATTACAATATATTTACTTACTGAAGAGAAAGGTATGGATTATCTCATGTCACAGACTGTTAAGTTATTTGCTAAAAGGTCTTTGGGATTAAAAACACAAGCAATCCTAGCCTGCAGGCGCGGGCTCCAGTCGCTCATTCCCAACCCACCAAAATGGTGTAATTTAACACGCTGCATTATCAAATAGGGGGGCATACTACATTTAAGACATGCACAAAGGTCCATCATTTGCTGCCACATTTTATTCTTGAAGCACAAAGCATAAATGCTGTTCCTGCATCAGCTGCCAGCATCGCTCGCAGAAATGGCTGGACAGACCTTCTGATGGAAAACTGCCGTAGTAAGTACGGCTCTTTTTAACAAAATGTGATTTCTGGTTCTGTACTAGGGTTCGAATGATCTCTGATTGCTTGAGACCATAGCAGGATACCAGACCATCACTGCTAAGTTTTGTTGCTCAAGCAAGCCAATTAGCAGCATTCACTTTAGTTTTCTGCCCCACGTCCCCCAGAACGGACCTAAGACCCCTCAAATGCGGGGCACGTTTCTGGAAGTATTCAGTAAGGATGCAGTGCAGATGGGGAACGGCTGATGCCGGAGCTACAACTGCTCTCATTCGGTGGTCACTTAAACAACACTGATCACAGCGACCCATAAGTGAGCATGTGGGGGGGGAGGAAAGAGACACCGTCTAACTGGGCCATCTATTTATACCGAGTCTGCTGACATTACAAAGGCGACTGTGGGAATGAGCTCCTTGGTGTGAAAGGTTGGGTTTTTCCTGGCACGCAGTCCATTGCTGGCATAAAATGATTAAGGATGGACAGTACTGAACCGTCAGCCTCGAGGGACTTTGTGGTCGGTTTTATGGCAGTTGAGCTATTTGCAAAACAGAAAAGCCCATGAAACGCTGGATTAAGGTGGTTGATGAATGGGGTACTTTACAAGCCGATCTCATTTCATTTCTCATTTCATTTGCTGCACCGGTGATCTTACAGCGGGGCTGTCTAAACACGGCGCGTTTCTCTACCTACGCTTTCGGCCTCTGAGAAGTGCAAAATGGGAGGGAGCAGGGCCTACAAGCTGCGCTGCGTGGGACATGAATTTGGGCACATACAGATCTTTCCCTGACAGGGAGAAGCTCATACTCACAGCCTGAATCCATGTGGCCATACGTCCACCGGAGGGAGGGCCAAGCGTCCCCCCAACCTGGAACTTAGCAGTCGCCCCCCACCCCACAACTCACTTTACCTTGACCCAAACTTTCCACTGTTCTCTTAACCTGCCCCCTAGATCTGCCAAAATCCCACCTCCCAGGCCTGGGTACCAGAGAGGCAGCGCCGCTGCAAAACCATGCCGTGGTTTTGGGGCACAACTCATGCCAATTGTGACCCCAAAGCTGGTTTTGAATGGGGATGAAAGAGCATGTGGTCCAACAGTCAGAGCTGTTCTGGAAGTCAAACCCTGGCCCAATCATAGAAAATTAGGGTTGGAAGGGACCTCAGGGTCATCCCAGCTGCTGGCTCTGCCTAGTGCCGGCCTCTCCACGAGAAGTGGTGGACAAGTCTACAGTGAGATTAACTGGATGGGCGGCAGAGTCGCTTCTGACCTCTGCACGAGTCCACACCACGGCTTCCCCTCTCACACATACGCACTATAAGAAGCGACGGGCTGTAGGTGAGAAAAGTGCAAAAATTTCCAAGTGAAGCCTTTAAAAAAAAAAAAATCCACTAGTGTCCAGGTGAAAAAGCCCAGTTATTAAAACCTATCAAGCAGCTGTACTATTACAGAGCATGTGGGGGTCCCGGTCACTAGCAGGGGGAGAGCTGATTTGGTTTTCTGAGAAACCCCGATGCCTCCCCATCACCTGTATCCCACGGCCTCCACTTCGCAGTGTAATACCAGTGGCACTGGCTGGAGCATTCAACACTTTCCTCTTCTGGTACAATCACCGGGCCCCTCTGATAGAGGCAGAGCTGTCAAACATGGGGCACATAAAACAAAGTTAAATATTCATGCTAAAGCGCAACCCAGAAGAGACTATTAGCCCACCGTCTCTGTTATTTGTGGGGATGAAGATGTATTAGCTGCCGCGCTAACAGAAGTAACTGCAAGCCACAGGCATCCAACGCAATCACAGCATTGTTATGCATGAAAAAACCTCTCGGTATGGCAGACGAGAGCGCCCAAACTTAGCCCTCTTGCAACAGGCTGCAGCCCTCTTCTTTTTTTACCCCCACTGCCCAAGGTCACACATGGAGGCACGACTCATGAAGATGACAGAAGCCATCGGCCACTGCTTTGGTTTGAACCCAGCAGACGTGCTTGCTGGGACCTGTAGTCCGAGTAGTCGTGCGCTGGATTGGCACAGACGTATGTCGGCATTACTGGTTTTGAGTTGCTTTGATCGGAGCTGAGCGTAGCACTCCGTGTGAAGACATGCTAGCCGCTGCTCGTCTGACTTCATGAGACCAGACAGATGTTTTCTGGTAAAGGTGACCATAAGCAGAGGTCTGTAATCGCAAGGCCATCTAAGAACACGAAGGGACCTTAATCTGAATGAAGACTTGACAGTTATAAGAAGGGGCAAGACCTGGGTGCCGGTCAACTTAGGCTGGATCTAGCCATACTGATAGGTCTGTGGTGTAACATGGTTGGACTACAAACGCAACTGGGTTTATTCCCGTTGCGCACACAGGGTTTCAAGCTGTTTCCAGAAAACAGGAAAAAGCAAGACCCAGCAGGGCTCTTGGTTCCTAGAAAAGTCACCGGTGTTTTCCCATCCGCACCAGCAGCTAGAAGAGTTGTGACACGGTTGTTCCCTCTCCCTGGCAAAGAATCGGGTCAGGTACCTCTTCGCGGTGTAGACATACTTAGACCAAACGACCTTTCTGGTCCCTCCTATTCTGCAAAGCGTAGGTAAGTTTGACCCCTGCCCCTCTCGCCCCCACCACCGGGCCTACCAGAAATGCATCTCCAGCCGATTCAAAGTGATGAGAAGCCCGTAAGCTTCTTGAGTGTCTCCACAACCAAAAGGGAAGGACCTGGCATGCAACACTAACCCATGACCAATGTGTCCTTATTGCCCTCTTCTGTCCCCACATCCCCACCAGGGCCACAGGATTTCTGGTTGCGACTCGTGTACCTTGTGGTGCTTCGTAGCAGCTGCCTCACTTCACCACCTACTTGCACAACCAAGGCTGGTTAAATCACTGATCTAGACAGAGCCACCTTAACAGGATTTTTGGATGGGTCCTAGTGAAGGGGAGTGGAAAAAAAAAAAAAAAAGGACATAATGTTTAATTATAAGAAATGATTGAAATAGGCACAGACATACCCCGGGTGCCTCTGCACTGCAGCAAACTCTAAACTTGTTATCGTTAATGGTTTAAATTTCACTGTGCTAATCATTTCAGGACACAAGCCTTTCTTGATAATCTAATGAATTATTCCAACATCCTTCAGCAAAAAAAATCCTCCATGACAGCACTAATTACAAGACGTTTTCCCAGTGCTTATGTAAAATATGACAGAGCAGCAGCTTAGGGAATTGCAGAAAACTGCTTCTAATTTCCACTGAGAAGCTGACAAACACCTCTCTTTCATCTCTCCCAGCTCTCAAGTAAGATTTAACTTTCTCATTTAGTTAATTACCGAGTGAGGATCATCATTTTCCCGGATCGGAGCGGCACAGAGCCTTTATCGTGTTAACTTGTGAACTTGATCGATGGCTGCTGCTAAAACTTAATAACTTCACCCCCCTGGCAAATTGTAAGATAAATATAATAGGAGAAACTCTGACAGTAAAAACCTGCCAGAAATGAGCACTGTGTTTATGTTTCTTTGCAGGCAGCAAAAAAACAACCGACAGCTTATTACTGGGTGCGTGTTACTTATATTTAAAAGACTCCAGGCAGTTAACTTCCTGCGTACTGCTCAAACTTTACTTGCAAGATAAAAGATGCTGGGGAAAAGCCAAGGTAGTGGCAAGACAGAGAAGGGGACCGGCGAGGTGAGGGCAGAGATGGAGAAATGCAGCAAACGCTGAAAAAAAAAGTCCCAGTCAAGGGCGCAGTTGTGGTTAAAACATCTGGGGAGCCCGCGCATGACCTGGAGTTTAGCAGCAGTGCAAAAGATGCTCCAAAATTCAGGCAGGCATGGTTCTTTGGGAAATTAAAGATGCGATATTGTTTATCTTTAAGATGTGGTATCTATTATTAAAGATGTGACAGCTATTATTTTTATTTTTATCTTTTATTATAGTTGGAAAAAACGTTCTTTGCAAGCTTTTCGGCACAAACGCCCTTCTTCAGGCAGGGGGAGAAAGGCGTTTGTGCTCGAAAGCTTGCGAAGAGCAATTTTTCCAACTATTTAGTTGGTTTAGTAAAAGATATCACATCTACCCAAAGAAACTTGCCTGCTCATGTCCTTAGACCAACATGTGTAGAGCCAACAACCCCTTCAAAATTCGGGAGCATGTCACAGCAGCAGGTGTCACAGCCTCCATGGCTGTAGATCTGGAAAGCCACCGTCAGCTGAACACCTCCAGCACAGCCGACTTTTCAGGATGTCTTGTGTGACAATGAAGCCATCTGCCGCCCAGCCGCCGCGCCACGCACCGGAGCAATGGAAATGGGGAGGCCTGGCCTGGAAGTGCCCTCATCTCCCACCTTGTCCCTAAATAAGCAATAAATCCAGCTCGCTAAAACTGCACGGGGAAGGGGGCTGGCTGCTTGGATGGTGCACAACGCAGCCAGCAGGCTCAGTGGCTTCTCTCTTCCTCTGTGGGGCTGTAATTTCCCAGGTATGAGAGATGGCTTACCCTGAGAGCTGGAACAGAGGAAGCGCAACGGCATATCTCCAGCTGGCTGAAGAGCTTCATGGTTTCAAGGAGCTGGAAGGAAGATGCCTGCAAGCCTACAGTATAACACGGACGTGCCTGGGCTCTGACAGACCTCAATTATTGCCTTTCTGATGCAACGAACAGGGGTTTTCTGAAGGGCGGGAGGCAGTCCAGTCCACAGGGAACGAGTCTCTATTGCAAAAGCATCCCCCCTCCCCATCTAGGAAGGCTTGGCACAAAGACCTGAGATCCAAAGAGCCACATGGCCTGAATGACAGCACAAGGGGAGCCTATGCCACATTTTTCCCTTTTGTTAGGTGAACTTGTCTTTTTTCTTCCCAAGGTTTGACTCAGAGCTACAGCGCGAGGCCATTAAACAACTCAGTCCATTTACTTTTATTTTAAAAGCTCCGTTTAGAAGCTACCCATTTCTAGCTGCCTTCATCTCGCGGAGCCGCTTCTACGAGGTTAACCATGGGTTTCGCACGTCTATGGACTTCCTCGCTCTGTGCTGAATGCCGGCTTCCACGCTGCAAAGCGCACCAAAACATTTTAAGGACCCAACGCAGCCCAGGAGCAGAATCATCATCAATCACATCCGAGAGTGAAAGGAAAGCACCATGAAAGAAGTCAAGATGCTATTACTGTTTATTTCCAAGTGGAAATTCAAAAAAAAACCAACGCCCGCAAAACAGAAATGAACGGCCCCCTGGATACCCAAAGAGGGAACCGCATTGCCTGCGCTGAGTCGCTAGCTGCTTGCCCACATCCGGACTCTAATTACACTACACTGCAGCCGGCTTGATAGGGGGAAAAAATGATACGTCTAGATGGAAAGGTCAATGGAATTATGCTGGAGACGGCAGACCAGGCTACCGTGCTTCACAAAGTCCTGTGGGGCCCACCGTTTTCAGAGGAACCGTCTAACTGCATCTGATATGGTGCTGGCCCGGGGCGTACCCAGTGGAGGATTTTAGCCACGTCGCAGAAGAGTGACATTTGGAGACCAGGCTGCGTTCTCCCGGGGCTGGAGAAAGCTGTAGGCAACCGCAGAAGCAATGTGTTGAATCTCTCCAGGGACCGGGGAGGGCAGCCCTGCACCAGCTCTGTAATACAGAGAGCAGCAATAATGCCTTGCTTCTCTCCCACACTGCTAAACTGTAAACAGCAACAGGGAGACGAGATTAAAAACTATTCTTTTAAGCTAATACTTAATGTTTCAGACAGGCTAATAAAGTTTAATTGTCTGGAATCTGGTGGCTCTTACTGTATAACTTCCCCGTGATATAGGTCTCCCATCTGGATTTTAAATGCTGGTAAAACCACCTGAATAAAATGCTGTGATGCTAGAACGGATGTGCGGCCGGAGTACCCCCCCGTACTGCTTCCTCTCCAAGTTTCCTCTGCAAAGAACAGGCATGGAGGAGGAATCACCTTGTGCCAGGAGGCCCAGGTGACGGATCGACGCACCAGGTTGGCACGTGTCGCTCTCCCCACGTCTCTAGTGACTGCGAGCAAAGCGAGTCGACAGCGCTCCCAAGCCCTCTCCTCTCCCCCTACGGCCGCCCCTTCCACTGTGAAAGGCCCCTCAGAAGTCGCCGAGTCCCCCCTCTCGCTCCAGATGGATAACGAGCAACTCTGCAAGGAAGAGAATGCAGAGAAGCGCTTCTCCTTCCAAAAAAAGCATTACCTGAGCCAGGCCTGGACTGCTGGGACTTGCACAGATTATTACTGCTAATGGAGGAGAGGAACATGCACATTATTGCTTGGAGAACCGTGGAACCGGCAGCAGCAGTGAAGGGCTCATTTATGACAGGGAAAGGTGGAAGCTATGCTCCGAGCGGCAGTTTTGCCGAGTTTTGGACGGCCGCCTCTCTTTTAGAAGACCCAGGCAGGCTCTCCTGCCTGAGTGGAGCCGCTCTTTACGGGCGTTGCTGCTGATTTCCTTGCACCCCCCGCCATCCCTCACTTCAGACAAAACGCCAGCGAGGAACAGCATGCTGGGAGGCAGGCTGACCCGGTAATTTAGAACAAGGCTGGACAAAACGAAGGAGAATAGACTGCTGGGACTGATGAAACACTACAAGAGGGGGTAACCTAACAGGTCAAATGCCCCTGGCTGGCTGCACTGCATGCAGCTCTCATGATTCCTGAAGCATCTCGATCCTGCCTGCATAAAGCTTTCAGGTGGGTGCCTGTGCCCAAAAGCTTGCAAAGAACAATTTTTCCAACTATTCGGTTGCTCTAAAAAAAGATTTTGCATTTACCTAAATGACCGTGTCTGCCTAAAGCTTTCAGTACACTTTTAGCACCAACAGGCTAAGCCCTGAGAGATACCTGAGTAACGCCCCCAGCACCTCCCCTAGCAAAACTTGACCTAGGAGATCACCGCTCAGAAGAAGCATCGATCTTCACTGAGTTTCCCGCTTCTAAGTGCATTTTGCTGTCTGAAATGACGCACAAGGAATCAAGTGACTTGCCCATGGTCTCGGTAACAGTCAGTGGCTCAATCTGGATTAGAAACCAGGATACTCATGGCTTTTTGAGAGTCAGTTAATCCCCAGGTTTCTTTCCTTCTGGTGTCATCCAGGTTTTGTTCAATTCTGTGCATCTAAGACATTACTTTATATAGCAGCTTTCCAAGCTTGGGGAGCACAGATTAGTCCAGGTTGTGTAAAGGATAGCACTGAAGACACCAGAGGGACGCTGAGGTTACAGACAGCTGCATGTGAGGCGTGACCCATGTTCCCGTCCACTGGACAAGTGTGTATACGAGCAAATATACGAGCAGCAGGTCTTGCCGATCTCCACCCCAGGGTGCCGAGGGAATTGCAGAGGTCATTGTGGGACCCCGGCACGGCTTTACGAGCACTCGTGGTGCTCTGGCGAGGTGCCGGAGGACTGGAAAAGGGCCAATGTGGTCCCCATTTTCAAAAAAGGGAGGAAGGAGGTCCCAGGAAACTATAGGCCTGTTAGTCTTACCTCGGTCCGGGGGAAGCTCTTTGAGAAAATTATCCAGGAGCACATCTGCGAGGGGCCGGCAGGGGAGGTTATGCTCAGGGGCAACCAACATGGGTTCATTAGGGGCAGGTTCTGTCAGACCAAACCGGTGGCCTTCTACGACCAGGTCACACAGTCCTTGGACGCAGGTGTCGCGGTGGACGTAGTCTTTCTGGACTTCAGGAAGGCCTCTGACACTGTCTCTCACCCCATTCTCATTAAGAAATTAGGGGACCGTGGCATCGACACCTACACAGTGAGATGGGTCACCAATTGGCTGGAGGGCCGCACCCAGAGAGCGGTGGTAGACGGGTCATTTTCGACCAGGAGGGCTGTGAGCAGTGGGGTCCCCCAGGGCTCGGTCCTCGGACTGACACTGTTCAACGTCTTCATCAGCGACTTGGACGAGGGGGTGAAAAGCACCTTGTTCAAATTTGCAGATGACACTAAGATGTGGGGAGAAGCGGGCACGCTAGTAGGAAGGAACAGGCTGCAATTCCAGGGGTGGGCGGATGAGAACAGGATGGGTTCAACACTGACAAGTGCAAGGTGCTGCACCTGGGGAGGAAGAGCCAGCAGCAGACCTACAGGTGGGGAACTCCCTTCTCGTCAGTGCAGAGGCAGAACAGGATCTTGGGGTCATTATTGATGCCAAAACGAACATGGGCCGGCAGTGTGGGGACGCGATCAGGAAGGCCAACTGCACCTTGTTGTGCATCCACAGATGCATCTCGAGCAGGTCCAAGGAGGTGATCCTCCCCCTCTACGCGACACTGGTCAGGCTGCAGCTGGAGTACTGCGTCCAGGTCTGGGCGCCGCACTTCAGGAGGGATGTGGACAGCAGGGAGAGGGTCCAGAGGAGGTCACCCGCATGGTCAGGGGGCAGCAGGGCAGGCCCTACGAGGAGAGGCGACGGGACCTGAGCCTGTTCAGCCTCCACAAGAGAAGGCTGAGGGGGATCTGGTGGCCATCTATAAACTGGCCAAGGGGGACCAGCAGGCAT